ATCACCCAAAACATGCCTTACATGTTTCAGTAAAATCCTACTTTTGCATGTCATGTCAGATGGTGTAAAATGATGATGAATGATGAAAATTTTTAGAAAATTTGTTTTTCAAAATCTTTTCTGCATGTTTCTCATCTTAATAGAGCATTTTGAGAATTCTTTTTAGAAAAAAACATATTTTGGAATGTTGGTCATGTTGGTCAGAATTTTTGAAATATATTTATTAAAATTTCATAATTTCCACAAGTTTCTCATCAAATTGAAGCATTTTGAGAACTGTATTAGAATTTTTTTTTTAATTTTCAGCCCCTGCTCATTTTGGTGATGTATTATAAAAAGACGTCACATTTCGTGTGTGTGTGTGCTCTTTCACAATGACAAATAATTCTAATTCTTCTGTAATTTCGCAGCCTGGGATCAATAAAGTACATCCATCCATCTATCTATTTTTGGTCATATGTTAAAAAAGTATGATGAAAATTTTGTGATTTTTTTTCAAAATTATATATTGTTTCTCATGTTTCTCATCAAATTAGAGCATTTTAAGATCCTAAAAATCGTAATTCGTAATTCTTTGGCATGTTTATAAATATAGTGTTTAATATAATTTATTTACATTTTCTGTAAATGTCTTTGCTATGATAATACAGTAACAAAAAATATTTTCAATTTGAGGGCAAAAATACAAAATTGTATTATATATTGTATTATACAGTTTTATATAGAATATGTTCTATAGTTGTAATAATATAAATTTTGTATTCTGAAGAATAAAAAGAATTTAAAAAATATTGTGATATTACTAGTTTCAAATTAAAGTTTTCTGTACAAGTACAAGTATGACATTTTATTATCATTTTACATTATCAGTAAAAAAAAACCACCAGGAATCAGCTTTAACTCAGAATTTAATCTCATTGTACACATTATCCATCCAAAGTCAGGAACCTCATGCAGACTACTTAAAAATTAAAGACTTAGTTCTACCTATAGCTTCAGCATCCTCGCTCAAACATTTTTTTAAAACCCCAAAAGCCGAAAAGTCACATCATAAAGATTTGTTTAAATAAAGATTTTTTTTAAGGATACAACCTTGATCATTGTCAAAAGGTCGAGGTAAGCAACAGTAATGAGCTATTTTTGTCCATGTTGTAGTTTTGGCAGCATAATGTTTAGGACTGCTGATATGTTTTTATTCATTATTCATTAAACTGTGTGCAGTAGATTTTTTTTTTTTTTTTTGATAAATGTGGATGTTTCATTTGCCCTCAAGTATAAATGCTTTCTTTCAACTTTCAAATTATTTTATACAAACATATTCTATGATATAATTATCAAAATGCTGAGACTTAAACATTGCTGCTAAACACAGTAACCTGTGCCTTTTTTTAAGTAGTTTGGTTGGTATTGAGACCTATATACTGAAAGAATTTGTATATAAAAAAAATCCACATAATAACAAAGGCCACCAGAGGGCACTGCCTGTTGCCAACTCCACAGTACCTCTAGAGTTGGCAGAATTGTTTGGAAGCATCATTAAGATTGAACGGATTTGGTAATGCAAATAAAAATCCGGAACCTTCAGAACCTGTTATTCTTTATTTGGCTATTGCTCTTTAGGCTTTTGTGTAAATGAATGTAGAGTAAAGGTACTTGCGCTGTGCTGCTAGTTGGAAGTATGTGGAGAGTAAAGAGGGTTTCTGTAAACACAATGAAAACAGCTTATTAACATTAATTAACATTAACAATCTCATACAGTTCATTTGTCACACATTTTTTGCCAATAATTCTGTAGGAGTGCAGATGAGGCAAATGCAAGCTTATATACAGCACTTAAAATCATTATCTTACATAATACATGTATTAGATGTAAAGTGCTAAGTAAAATGGCAATGTTATATATATTTTAATTGAGACTAATCGGTTGTAGGCTATGTGTAGTTAGATTAATTTAATACCAGATAGAAGCAGGAAGTCACCCATCACCTTTGGACAGTTTGAAGTAAATACAAATGAAACCGTCATCTTCTTTGTCCATCACTGTGTCATACAGCCAGACTGTCTCTCAGACTCAGTTTCAATCCATTTCTTCTCAACTTCCAGCTAAAAAAAAAAAAAAACAAATACAGTAAGTAGTTAGATTTGGTTGAATCTCAGACTGTGGGGGCACTGATGAGCTGCCTTACCTGACAATGGTACCGTGTCCAACTGGTCAGATGTTTTTGAGGCTGGATGTCGTTTACTGTGCCCAGTGATTTGACTCTGGTCTGTGACACAACAGCTCCCATAATTTCACATTCCATGGTGACAAAAGGGTACCAGTCTTTGGGAATCTCCTGATCAGATCCCAGCTCAAGCTTACAGGAGAGAGAATGGGGGTGGTCCACTGCTGCAGAGGACAAAAAGACAACAACATTTGAGAGTCTTACACCAATGTTAAAATCCAAACACATTAAGTGGATTCAAAGCAAATCAATCAAACAAATACGTACAATTTCAGCCTCAGCAATACATCACTGGCATCAGTGACAAACTCATTATAGACAGATACACATTATATTCATCAGAATTTAACAAGGCAGTGACTGTTCAGACAAGAAGCACAGCAGTAATGCAGTATCATCTGAACATATGGGCTTTTTCTAGTCATTTTCAAGTAATTTTAAAATTACACAGATAAAAACGAACGTGAAGCTAATAATATTTTAGGTTTTAAATCTGATATTACAGGTTAGCTGTAGATTAACCATGATGAAGATAATACACTCCTAATCATTGCTGGAACAGGAGGCATGTATGTTTCACACAAGTTTTAATTTGTGACCAAGTCAAATGATTAAATAATTAAAATGTAAAAATGTTGAATGAAATTAGCAACCTTCACCTTGAGGTGCTTTGGTGAAACCTAAACTTTGTATTACGATGTGTGTAAAGAACAACATGTACCGAATCAATGGATGGCAATGGGATTATTGGATATACAGTTTGCATCATTTGTATGTATATATGTGTTAACATATGTACAAAAGTTGAATCTGACTTATTTCAGAAATGATTTTGTTTTGGTGAACACATTTACTCTGACACCCATACTGTTTTCTTCGTCTTACCCATATTTTTTCCGGGCAGTCTTTCGATCCTCCACACAATGGCTGAATATACATTCTCATACTTGACAGTTCCGACTGACACCTGTATAACAGGCTGTGAATCTGCAGTGCTGATGGATCCCAGGCAGGTGTTTCTGTTCATACGGGCCTTCAATGACCTCTGTCGCAGTAGGGCCACCGTCTGTGTCACTTTGACCCAGTCGCCTGGCACAGGCACACGAATTATAACGTTTTCACAAAGCGGGTAGCCGTCTGACCCACCAACAGAGGACTGAAAGGCTGCAGACATGTTCAGAAAAGCCTGGAGCTCCACATAGGCCCCTTGGACTGTAACCACAGCTTTGATTGAGAAAGGGATCTCCGTGCAGCCCAAAGCAGTCGTCTTGTATCTCATCAGCTCCACCCTGCAGGCGTCAGGAGGTGAGAACTTAATCAGTCTGGACCTGTGAAACTCTTCCTCATTGACACATCTGTGAAAATGACAGTCGGCTATCTGCATCCACAGTTCACTTTCATCCTCGGAATCGTAGCTGGAATTGTACTGCAGCAGTCCCAGGTCATTAAGAGCCAAAAAACAATCCCCGAGTCCACTGAGAAAAGCTAAGCAGTGTATTTGAGTGACAGCTGTCCGCTCTATGACTCCTCCGGACTTATCTAGTTGTACCCAGATATGATCAGTGATCTGCAACGACAGCTCCTGCTCCTCAAAGTGACGCCTCTGTTGATGGGGCATACACAGCTTAAAGATTTCCTCCTCCATGGAGACCACCAGGTCCTCCATGTCCTCATGCACTGAGGAGCCAAACTTGAGCAGCTGTTCAACCTCCGCCTCATGACTGACCTCCAACTTCGGGTTGAAGCGTTTCTTTTCAGTGTAGGAAAAATGCTCCACCTTGACAGTGAGGACTTTACTTTCCACTCTAAGGTCTGAGAGCCTGCACTGAGGGAAGAGCTGAAATTCTTTGAACGGCTTCTCCAGCCCTTTCTCATAGTACATCTGCAGCACAGCTCCAGGCAGCAGGCGAAGGTAGATCGGCCCCCACTGTCGCGAAGACATGCGGTTCTTTTTTTCCGGAATCCTGAGCAGGACAGACCAGCCATCTCTCCTCTTGCTTCGAAACAGACCCCGGGGAACAAACTTGGACGATTTCTCGCTTAAAACCTCAGCGTTGCAACTCAGCCGCCTCTGTCGACCATTTTCAGTCTTTGCTTCCGACTGGAGGCCCTCCAGCTTATGGCAAACGTAGGAGAAAGAATTCTGCAGGTGGTCACGTGGAGGCTCACTGCCATCTTTGGTGCGAATGAAGAAACGTGGTAAGCTGTTGTCACATTCTGAGTCTGAGGATGAACTGTCGACATCTTCGCTGTATCTACGTCCATCCCAGAAGGGGTTGTAATGGCCTGAGTTCCCCTGAAAAGATGGGAAGGGACTTAATCCATCTCTGGTTCGACTTGGAACATCAGGCGCAGGGGAGGGCATGTAGGAGTTTGATGTGTTGGACAAACTGCGAGAAAAGGAGTTATTTTCCCGTTTATTAGAATTAAATTGGGACGCACTGCCTGGTGCTCCAGCCACAGCAGTGTACACAGGTGTGTTACATAGTACAGAAGAATTCCCACCACTCTGTGGTGATTCCACGGAGGAACTGAAGTTCCGGGAAGTGTCTCTAATCGGTGGAAACACCAACTTCAGACCATTGGGACGAGGGACTGAGGAACTGATGAACCCCGGTGACTGTAGAGGCTTCTGTGGTGTCGAGGGCGGTGTGTTGTCATCTTCAAAGGTGACCCAGTTAGAATGGTTGGTCGAACACATAGTTGAAGATGATTGATGTCCAGTTCAAAGGTGTGATGGAAGAAAAACACCTTTGACCAATCACTTACTATCCAAAATAGAATTGTTTTATCTGTAAGAAAATGAATGGAAAAGAAATGAGAATTTATTTTATAAGTGTACTAGTAATTTAGCACAGCGCCTTATGAACGATGCTTCATAAAGAACAAAGATGCAAAAGAAAAGTTGGACTACGGTTACATAGTGGTGACTTTCAAAGACTGTTCAAATATCGCCTACCAATGATACAGTGGCGATTTGGATAATTTGACAAACTTCACACAATCTCGTAGTCAATTCTTTTGCTTCAAAATCACCATACATCTTTCAAAGTGCTCATACCAGCGCATACCCTAAGGCTTCAGAGAAGCCACTTTAAAATACACTGAAGCCTCATATCCCAATAAAATCATGAAAGAGAAAAAAATAATTGAAAGCAGAAAGCCTCAATTACAGCCTTCCTCCTGTTTTCCCTTCTAGATCACAGCCATGTGATTGCATGGAGGACATTCAGTGGCAAGTTCCTCCGAGCTATAAATAAACAGGGAAGTGAAGGCTATGGTTTGGAGACTTGGATTGACAAGTCATTAAACACTGAGGAATATCTTGGTAATGAGACGGGATCTGCAGGAGCCCACAGACGTTTCTACAACTTCACCCCTCCCTTTGGTTCTAAATCCCAACGCTGTGATTGAAAGACATACACATGGAGAATGGTGGGTACTCCGCAGAGGTCACTGCCTGTTTTTTTTATCCTCCTTTTCACTCTGTTGTCTCTTCCAAAATCAGCCCAGAAATGAGAAGCTGCTAAATCTACACCGGACAAAGGCATACATTCCACACATTCCCCTGAGACAAGCAGTGTTTCACACAGGAAATACCAGCCTGTTATATCCCTGTGAACTGACAACTATTTTAATCTAAATATAATTTAATCAAATTTCAAAACAGAGCTCCACATGGACATGTGGCTGATTATCAATGTCAAACATAACAAGACAGTCACAAAGTAAATGCTCAAGGGTTTTTGTGACAGCGTGTAACATTTCTTTATGAAGAAATTGGCTTTTACAGTCTAGTCCAATTTTTCTTTGAATCATTCAAATAAATCCCAAATGACTTGGTCATCTTTTCCACTTCTACACAAATGCAGCAGCAGCGTCTCTGTTTTCTATTCTTATACAAACATTGCTCAACCTGAAGGAGGCAAAATACAGGATACACCTCATGGAGTATAGCTCCATAATCGTAATTAGTGGCTGAAAACCCAGCCGTCCAGCCATGCCAAATAGTACTTATTGGCTTAAAAGGACAGCATCAGCACTTTTGGGTGCAAGTCATCATAATTAACACTGTGGGAAAGGCTGGAATGGCATGACAAACAAAGACAAGGAGGAAGACGAGAGATGAAGAGGAACAGCAGTCACAAACTGAAACTAAAGTCTGAACATGAGAAAATGTGAATTGAAGGTGAACTCACAATGTGTACCAGACAGTGAACAGCATTTTGCTGGAAACAGTGAGTGAAACTTTTGTGGTTCGAAAATAAAAAATTCTGTGGTAATACTTGAACTTGAACTTGGATGACTGATGCTTCCTGGGTAAACAGATAAGTTTCTGTTGAATTCTCTGTACACTTCCTCTGCACTCAGAATAAATAAATAAATAAATAAAGCTGAAAAATCTGATGACACATTTTCAATAGCACCCATAGAAAAGTGACCTTTGTCCCCTTGTGTGTGTGTGTGTGTATTTTCCTGGTTATTTTGTGCGTGAAACTAAAACTAAATCACAATTGTTAGAAACACTAACAACGTCGACCCAATAATAACAAACTTAACTATCTACTGATGCTCATACCAGTCTGATTTAGGGATTTTACATCTGCTTCACACATTTGTGATGATGGAATTTCACTCACAGACATAAACAGCCATTACCAACAGGATATGTTCGAATGGTGTTAGAAATATATTTGTCTTCCATAAAGACAGAAAAATGGCCACAGTTCTAATGCGGCTCCTCTTCACTGGTTTTTCATCCCAGAGGGAAATTACACAGTTGATATGATAAGTGAAGTATAGCATATGTTCCTTCCTCATTCCAGTTTGCTAACATGACATCAACAACCCACAGCTCTTTGCAGCCGGAGCTCATTGAAACATTTATGGGATATTTGACTTTATTTGGGTTTAATTTAGTCTATTACCTTTGTCTGTTTAATGATAACCAAATCTGTATTTATAACACTTCACTGGTTCAATTTCACTCTAACAAAATCCTTGGTTAATATGACAAAACCGAGTTAGAAGTGCATGTCTAGATAATATTATGAAGAATGAATGACAGTCAGTTTTGTAAAGTTCCTTAAACCTACATTCATAGTAATTGCATATAACTATTTGTAGTGTAAAAATGTATATGTATATATGTTTCCCCCTACTTCTTACACACATTTATCTACAGTGTATGTAAACCAACCCACTTAATAAAAGGCTAATCATGTCATTTTGCTGACATAACACAGGCATCTTTTTGTGAATGTTTATCAAATACCAAACAAAGCAATTTGATGACACAAAACATGAAGTAATTAAGTTTTTAAAAAAATTAGTCTTCTTCTGTAAACCTGTAATTCTGTCATATCACATTCTGCATGTAGTGTTTACTTCAAGACTTGAAGCAACTGACAGAGAAACGGACTCTCTTTTGTTAAATGCAGTGGGAAAAAAAGATTTGCGTTTAATGATTAGTAGCACGAAAAAAAGTTCCAAATAAGACCAATTGTCTTTAATGAAACATGGCAGTTGTATTTAGGGACTGTCATGACAACATTTTTGCACTTACTGGTAAACTTACTGTGGTTCACTTACAAAATCCCCCTTGTTCAAACGCGAGTGGGGTCACTAATTCACACACAACCTCTGATTTACTTGTCCTTTAATTGCAGTCTGTGGACCGTAAACAGAAATCCGTGTCAGTGAACTTCCATACACACCGAAACCAGGCCCGTGTGGATGGGCCCGCTTAGTGTACGATAACACCCGCTTCTGCGCAATTTCTGCTTTGATTATTTTTAACTGCGTTAAATAACCAAATGATGGTTCTCTGCTTTGCAGTTTTTGCAGCAGAAAACAGTTCAGTCACAGCTGGGTCACGACTAATGAACAAACAAACACAAAATAAATTTCTGACGTGCCTTGAACTACCACAGTCTGCAAACTCCACCAAAACAAAGACATACTCACAAAACTCGGAGCGAAACTCTACTCGTTTACCTCATGGCTGTGTTTGTTGGAAGCGTCTGAACTGTCGACGTCGAGCCGGTTTTGTTCAAAATGGCAGAGTGTGAATCCTGGGAGTTTGAGCTGCAGTTGTAGGAACAGAGAGTCAGAGGTTACCCTCCTGACTGAACACACAAGTCAACTGTCCTCCAGCGGGACAGAGCAGGAATCAACAAAAGTGGGGCGTTTAAGACGGTAGGAAATTTGACTATCCAACAGTTTGAGTCGTTGGCTTTGGACAGTTAACTATTCAATGGAATTTCCCGCTACACTCAATTGATTTTATAAATCTTGACAGAATATTAGATAAAATATTTATACTTACATGTGTAAAATGTTATGAAACGTTATAATGCAATATATTATTATTTTAGCTAAGAAAATTTAAACATTGTGTTTTTTGTTAACTTTTCAGGTACTCATAGCCATTTATGGCCATATTTTATTCATAATTTTCATTTTAGCATTTAAGTTTGACAGTGAGTTTGATTGTCTGATATTTGATTATCTCTCATTTTGGCTATTTTGTGATAATGTATAGCTGTTTACATTACATACATTTTAACTTTTGTTTACATTATTTCTTCATAAGTATAGCACTTGGTACTTGTAGTCATCCCTTCTTATAAAGGCCATTTTTCTTTGCAAGTTATTTGAGTAAATACCAGCTGTTTGCTCAAATACTTTTGCAGCTTCATAGACTGTTAATCTTTTTTATTAGATATATACATTCCTGAAAGCATGACTATAAGAGTGCTAACATTTTTAGGCTAGTTCGGGGCCAACTTGAAGCAGTTTTTCTGTATTTAGTCACTGTCACAGCTCACTATCCTTTCTGACCAAATCTATGGCTGTCAAAAAGAAGTTGCCATTACGTTTTTAGCACTTGACCTCTGAAGCATAAGTTGTTCATGAAAGCATCATTAATTCCCCTCAAAATGAGATGTTTTTCCTTCCAGTACAAAGTGACGGCATCCACTGGTAATCTTTTCATTTCCCAGTAGTTAGGGTGTGTTCTGACTGTTGCACCATCCAACTATCCAAAAATATGTAAATGAAAAGTTAGAAAAAGTCTGGCCACATGGATTTATTAAAGCACTACACAGTTCAGTTCATCAAGCTTTTTGTAACTGTTTCACATATTAATTCATATGTGCTTTTTAACAGGTTATACTACAAGAGTACAAGAGTTATTTATTATTTTTACTGGGTCAGAGGGCGTTGGCAAATCTTTGTGATCAAAGGGTTGCCAAAAGGGTTGGACAGGTAAAGTCTGACGCTTCTCCTTCAATGATCTCATATTACAGTGAGCCATTATTTTGCCGTAAACTTTTCACATTACATGAGTCAGGTCATCTAAGCACCACTTAGATACAGTTTGTGCAATCGCCTCTCAAACCTTAGAGGAATCTGTCTCATAACATATATAAATATTTATATAAATGTCAAGACTGGCCACACTAGTGCACGTCCACACTTGGGTGATAGATGAGTTGTTATGATAGTTTACACAGACAGACAAGACTTTAAACGAGCTACAGCTTGCTCATCTTAACCGTGTTCTATTGGTCCACACAGTTAATCAGAACATCAAGGCAGATTACATTTGTTTTTCCATCTTAACTCCCACATGATTGAAACTTGGAATGCACTCATGTAGGTCTTTGACATTTCTCTTTTCAGCTTTTCTTATATATTTTTTAAAAAGATCTCATTATATATGCAATAATGACAGAAGGGATATTATACTGTTTATCTCCACACAGCCCCTTGGAGCCACTTTCATTAATAATTTCACTGTTTATCATTAAAAATCTAAATGTTAAACATATTTAATTTGGTGCACACTTTAATCTGCGCACATACAGCAACTCACACTGACAGGCAGGGTTTGGTCTTCAAGTTGTTTGTCCCTTTCTGTCCCTTCTGGAGATAAGCTGTTACTGTTTGTCATACAAGTCAAGCGACAGCTTTGGGTACAGTTTCACAAAACAATTTTTAAACAAAATCATGGTTTTTTCATCTGATATTGTGACAAAGACATATTTTAAAAAAAGCTACTTCCTCAGTCAACCACGTTACAGCCCACGTGGAGTTCATTTTTGCTGACACCAACTGACAGTAGAGGAATCTGAGGCTTGTAAAGCCATCTTGTGATTTGGCCACAGCGGTAGTGTTGGTACCAGAACTCTGCTGATGAGGCTGCATAGTCCCACACATCTCTCAAAGTGTTCTTTGTGATGCCACATTGAGCCAGAATTTGAATGGTAGCTCTAGCGACCCTTGTTCTTTTTGGCGTTTCCCTAAATAGAAAAAACACATCTGGTATTAGTGGAAAAACCAAAAGCACTTTTTTGCCCAGAAAGCTCAAATCTGATATGCATTCCATTTGAAAATCTCCTGTCATGCCAAGACTTGCTTGTGGACTTCCGATGAAAAATCACCTTTGAAATCGCCAAACGTGCCCTGTCCTGCAGCTTTCAAACATGCAGCCATGTCTGTGCGTACATGTAGAAACATGTGTTCCCCTCAGTCTCTACAGCTTAATGACATTTTCAGACATTTTGTGCGCAGGTGCTTTTTCCATCAGACCAGGGAAGAAACCTTAACACCACAGATGACCTCCCAAGTATGCCCCATAACTGACAGAAACTTTACAATGTCACATTCGCAAGAGTAAATATTGGTGCCCTCTGACACCTGCTGTCTTAAATCACTCTTCTTGAAGATTTGATAAAGAACACATCTGAATGTGGCAGTTATGCATGAAATAAATGGCACAAAAAACAAAACTACTTTACCTTGCTGCCTAATTTAAGTGTGTCGATTTCCTCTCTCTGTTTGCTCAAAGTGTCATTCATGCTACACAAGTGGTCACTCATCATGCTAAGCTGGTCTTCATAGCTTCTCTTAGTCGTAGTCAACTCGTCCTGTGTGACAAACAGTCAGAATATGAGCAGTCAAAAGGTTGATGTGTAATTTGGTCCGGATGTCAAGTAGTGAAGACTGAAAATTACCTGCAATCGTGTGATGTCCTGAGTAGCTAGTTTGACCTCTTCACCCAGAGACTCCCGGGTTTTTTCTGCAATTGATAATCTCTTTGCCAAAGCCCGGCACTAAAAGTGGCACAAAGATCATATACAACTTATAAAGTATTTCAATAAGACAACAATTACCATAATAGTTTTTTTACTCATCCAGATATTTTCCTACCAAAGAACAATGTATTAAAAATGTGACTTTGCTTTAATTTAGCCAAGATTTACCTCCAAATATTTATTAATACATCAATAATGACAATATAATGACCATGACAACAACAGCTTTATAATCTTTACTATAAGACTGAGCAAAAGACACATAGAAAGAAGTTAAAATTCATTAGAATCTAATAAAAAATAATAGGCAAGTCTAAGGTTCTCTTTTACTTTCTCTTTTGAATTAAATCTGACTTGATCTTGTCCTGCTCTCAAAAATGAAAGTAACTGCTGAAGACTGTAGACCAACGCAGAAAGAAGGCTTTGGAATGTAAATGATCACTTTGACCAAGCAGCGATTTTTATACCTGAGATACAGACTAAAGACCAGCTGGGTCTGTGTTGCTATGGAACAAAGTAAGAGTGACTGATGAGGCAGTTAGTCATGAAGGTTGAAACTTTTAATAAAGACAATTATACCAGTTCAGATAAAGATAAAGAAGTTTCACATAAATTTAAATGTAATAGTCCCATATCTTTGAATTGGAACAAATGAAAATGGAGAACCTCATTAAGAGAACATAAGTGTGTCTGTAGGCTTTCATCACTGTTGAGGAGTAATATGAAGCACCAGGTAGGATTTAACCATCGTGGTAAAAATCTATTTAAAAATTCCATGTTTTACTCACAAAAGCAACATCTGCTTATGTTTTTTCTGTGAGAAATGGATTAAGGGAGTTGAACTCTGGGGTCTCTGAAATGTAGACGCCAGGTCTTGTTTATTTGACATAAATACAAAAAAACCCATGTTTGCAGTAAGAAAGGGTTTTTCAGGTAACATTTCCATCAAAGGCCTCACCTCAGAGTAGAAGTGCACAGCTTTACTGTCTGAGATCTGAAGCTGAGTGGTGAGTTCTCCAACTCTGGTCATGTAGTGAGTCTTGATCAGCTGCTCTCTAGACTCTTCGTCTCCTGCCTACAAAGACAGGAAAATAATATATAACTTGATAATTTTTTAAAATCTCGATTCACACTGTTTCCTGGTAAAATGTAAACTTACGTTTTCAACTGTAGGAGTAGTACACAACATACCAACCTGGAGAAAGGGAGAAAAGTCAGAGCAAATTGAAATCTACAGATGGGGATGTAACACCACTCAGATAAACATGCGTACAAGAGACAACACTATTAGCAGTGACTACAAAGAGAGTGCAGACAATAATAAAGCAAGACTTTGAATTCTGGCTGCATTGTAAAATCACCAACTTAAAAAAAACAACACAGTGTTGTTCAGTGGGGTTAGTGACAAGAAGAATGATAATACTCCCTTTGTTGAAACAAATCAGACATAGTTTAAACATTTCCTCTAAAGGTTACACAAATTGAGACAGAAGAGAAACTGTACCAGACTTGTACAGAGTGTCGTCTCCTTCGCTGTTGTTTTCTGCTCTGTTGTCGACGTTGTTTCCTCGTTGCTTAGATCGGATACGCTGCCTCCAGATGTTTGCAAGTTTAGATTTCCACCCAGAGCAGCAGCAAGCTGTATTTCAAGCTCGGCAATGCGCTGGTTCTCCTTCTCCAATCGCACTTTCCCCAGCTGGGCCTCCAACAGCCAGTGCTCCTTCTCCTGCTCCAGTCGAGTGATCTTCTCCAGGCTCTGCTGCACCTGCAGGAGACCAGGAGGACAGTAAAGGAGTGGACAGTGAATCATGAGAAGAGGGCAAATCAGAGTTTTAAAGTGGCAGTGAAAGCTTTCAAAACTTTTGTCTCCTCTTGTATTGTCTTGCATTTGGGTTAAAAAACCCAGAAAAAACAGTCATGTCTGACACGTCTGTTTGACTGCCTTGCAAATTAATGTTATCTCTATACATAGACGGGTGATGCCATAGCAGGACATCGGGTGGTGCTTAATACTGTACTTTTTAAAAACGGCTCCATGCTCTGTCAACAAAACCGACCACCATTTAGTTGCATTTTCAGCATAAATAGTTTAAACCAATGTGTTATGTAGATTCTTAGTTTCTGAGTTAAAGGAAACATCTTTAAATGAATGAACTCACAAAATAAATAGCATCTGTGTCACATGACCTACCTGTTGGGTGAGACCCTCTCTGCTTTCAGTGGAGCTGGTGAGTATGCGGCGATTTGACAGAGCTTCTCTGTACGGAACAGACTGAGGCCTAGGCTGATAAAAGCATAAAACAAGAACAAAGGTGTGTTACTGTTGTTTACATATTGACATTTGTAAATTGTTCTTCACCATGCCACTACCAAAAGGCGTAGGAATGTCAAAGCTGAGACCTGGGAGATCAGGAGGTGAAGCAGATAGTAACCTTTTGTATTGCACAGATATAGGCAGCAGCTTTCTTTTTGTTGGCCAGCATGTTCTCCGCCTGCAAGGGGTTGAGGGTCAGTCCACTGCCTTTGGGAGTGTAACCTGAGGATGTGAAGAAGTCCAAGTTGTTGCTGTAGAACGTGGCTATCTGCAACAAAGGAGAGATATAAAATGATAGGAATAAAAGAAGAAGAAAAAAACATCATGGCATTCTGAGCCATTTACCTGTTGCCAGCACCGCACTTTTTGCACTGTATCTACATGTGTTCAAAACATTGCTACCCCAGACTGGACTATGACTTTTCACTTTGGCCAACCTTTTACAAAGACCTATCTATTGTCTCTTAATCTGACTGAGGAGCAGCTGTGCAAACGGTGATTTGGAGAATATCTTTGAAAATGTGACCACCCTCCACCTGAGTCCTGTCTTTGTAACTGCCATTACTGGGAAATTACCCACACCATCCAGCTGCAGTAAAATTTCACAAAGCCCAACCTGTCGATGCTGCAGGTGTTTGTAGCTGCTGTTTCTACTGAATGAGCTACAGTCTCACGGAATATATTTTTATTAAAAAAGTGTTTCACAAATTCTACACCTTCATGGGTGCTTGGTGTTTACAAAGGTGACCCACCACACGGCTACTAGTACTTCCTGTCACACTCGCAGACAATTGAATTTACATTGATCACTGTTAACTATGATTAATTTTGAATAATCAAGATGAGGATGCCCCAATTAAAAGACCATTAACAGCTAGTAGATGTACGTGTTTGCAGCAAACATTGATTTAATTTTGTTTTGATGTCAAATATAAATATGTTTAGCAGTTTAAAAAGTTTAAATTGATTACAAAAAAAAGGTTTTAAAAAATCCTCACTGCAACAGGGTTAGGAAAGGCATAATCCACATTTCAGAGGCAAAATACATGACACACTGACTGGGCATACAAAATATGGAGTGCCAAGCCTGGACTCTGTCTGCCCTCTGTTGGTTGTACCTTGCCAGTGCTGCTGGTGAGAGAAGCCAGAGATCCCAGCAGGCACTGCGTGGTCGTGCAGAGCTTCTGGGTCACAGTGGGGAGCTCCTGCTCCAAACTGGCCTTCTGGCTGTAATGCTTTGAGAGTTCTAGATACACAGGGTTTGAAAAGAGAACAGTAAGAAGGAATAAAAGAAAACCACTTAGTTTACCTTAATATCCTAGTTTGATCAAATGACAAGTTATATTTAAAGTTTGCAACACTGTGACAAAAATAGCATTTTTCATGCACTACATTAAAGGCTTCTCTTTAATAACAAAACAACAAAAGTGTGTTTTCTTTAATCATTGTCATCATTAACATATTGAGTTTCATTTTTTAAAAAGGCAGTGCTTGTGATTTGTTCAAGTGCCTCACAAGTGTGGCTCACCTTTAACGGCATCGTGAAGACTGTGTAGGCATGCAGCCAGCTGAGTGAAGACAGCTGAGATGCTGCTCTGTGGAACAGCATCTTGCTGAACACCTGCAACATGTTGCACAGAAAGTGCAAGTATTAAAGAAAGATATGTTTTATTCATGAGTCATATTTCAGACTTGAAGAGCAGAAGTGAAACCATACTGGGTAAGGCCAACATATTCATGTAGTTCCTCAGCTTGTCAAACACAGAAGTAACTCTCTTCATGTCATTCTGAAGCTCCTGGTTTTTTGCAGTGAGGGCAGCAGAACAAAGCGATGCCTCACACTCTTCTTCAAGACTAGATGGAAAAACACAAATACTTTTCAATGCAGTCATATTGACTATATTTCTGTATTACAAATGCTAAAGCTCACACACTGCTGACCTCTTTAGCTGATAGGGCAGGATCTTCTGTAGAAAGCAGCAGTATGAAGAGAAAGTATCAGCAAATCCCTTCAGCTTGACCACAGTCTCCTTTAACCAAACAGCAAGAACACAAAAATCAGCATCTAATTATAAATAAAGAACCAAGTGAACCATGTGAACCCTACTCACTAGTATTGTGACCGTATCTTCTGTAATGCTTTGGTGCAACTGCAGAAAGCTGTCCTCCAGAGGGCGCACATAGGCAGCATTCTCATGGAGATACTGTGAAAACTAGGTTAAAAAAAAGAATGATTTGAGTTTAAAATGGGAGAAATATACACACAACACACACAGTCAGTCATTCTACTCTATAAGAAACAGTTTCTGTCACTTTGTGGGTTGGATTTCTCACCTTCTGGTTAAGAGGGGAAATGGGTTCAATAGAAGAGTCTCGGGGGTAAATGTGTACTCTCTGTTCTGTGTAGGTGTGGAAGTTTAAGAGAGCAGCAACCAGGTCCTGAATAAAGCTCAATGCCTGACCTGTCACATCCCGGGCCTTAAGCTGTATCAACAGAGTGCACAAACAATCAACAGATCACTGATATGCCTCAAGTTAATGCTCAATAGTATTGTGGATAATAACAGTTTACAGATTGGAGGATAAATGCTTTTGTAATATTTATTTTAGTCGTAATGCTGTAGTACTACTGGGAAAAAAATAAGGAACCTGACTGAATTACAAACACACAGTAACATGGTTTCTCCTCTCACCTGATGCCTTCGATTGTGTGGCGGCACATTCAAGCTGTTATAGTCGCTATATTCTGCAGGATGGCAGAGACAAGCGGAGTATGAGTATTGGCTGAACAAATATAAACTCTTTTACCTCAGACTTTTTCTTGTATAGTTTTATATGGTGGTGTATCATTACATCATTCTGTGCAAGTGATACTTACTGGTGTCATTGAAGGGCACTTTCTCCTGAATAACACTGCTGCTTTGTTTCACCTGTCTGTTCAGCTCCGACTGACACCTTCTCAACTGCTGCTGACTATGGAAACAGACCGAGGAGGAGATTATGAGAATTTTCTAAATGCAAAATATTTATAAAGATATATCCTTATTTATTTATTTGTTCATTTATGGCTAAGGACAGCAACCATGTCAAACAAGTCTGCAGAATCCCAGTGCCGGCTAATGCCCTTAGGATACAGCACTAAAGGTTATACAGTTGAGAGTATGTACTGAGTAATCCAATGGCAGACAACAGCAAAATAAAAATTTAGTTGTTTCTGATTCCTGAGATTGAATGTTCATTCACACTCATAAATATGTTATTATTTATTTAAAAAGTAAACAAGAAAATCTCTCTCTATTTTTCAAAATATTGGTGCCATTTACTTGGACCAGTGTGGGGCAAAGTTGTATCAAAGTTGTTCTGCAATATTTACAGAGAGGTGTGTCTTATTTGATTGAACTGTGACAAAGGTACTTGGTTAAACATCAAACGTATGGTGGGCTCTAACAGCAAAGTTGGGGCAAATCGATGGAAATGTCACTCATATATACATCAATAAATAATAATTGTACTTTTGATACATTAATGTAAAAACATATAATTATTTAAGTGACACATTTGCATTAACACCTAGTAATTTGTGTGTTATTCCTTTATATTTACCACTGTTCTGCTCTGCTGTGTTGGTTCTTACCATCCTTCTCCAAGTCTGTCAGTGCTTAAGTCTGGTTAAATGTTAAATATGGCTGATTTGTATATACATCATGATATTAAAGAGCATGTTTAGTAGGTATACCATTCTTCTGTTCGCATCCTGCACTCTTTTGTTTCCCTCTCCAAGGTCTGCACTTTCACCTAGCAGAACAAAAAATGAGTTGATTTAAGTACATTTTTCCCCCAACCAAAGTGAATTTCAAAATTGTGTACTTTCTCCAGCCCTCATCGTACTTACCTCCAGTCTTGCCTTGTCGCCCTGCAGTCTCTCTGTTGTTTCCATGTACTTAGTGGTGAGTTCGTCCACGACGGACTGATGCTCTTTAGACTCTTTATCCAACTCCTCCAGTCGGGCTTTGAGTGCCGCCTCTTGCCTCCTGTGCTGCTCATCTGCTTCATAGAACTGAGGAGTAAACAAAAGACAGTACGGTTCCTCTGCAGTGCTTCTCCAATGGAAAACATGAAGCAAGGATACAATCAGTTTGAACGTGGTCTAACTTCTTACTTGAATATGAAGTCGCTCATTTTCTTCTATCTTTTTCTGTAGGTCTTCATCAAAAACACTCTGTGTCTGCAGACCATGCTGTGAGGGAGAGTCTCCTTTACTCTGCAGAAATTAAAAAAAGGGCCATTGATTATTGTGTTGCAGCTCCATAAAACCAATATCAGTTTAATCACAGGAAATTGAAAAATGCTATTTTGACAATCACTCTTAAAATTACTATTAAGTATTAATTGGTGCTGTCATGTACACTTAAAATTCAAGCACACACTCTATAATACTAGTGTAGATTTCCGCTCATCATCACCTTTCCCTTTTTGCCCTTGGTTTCACTGACAACTAACTCCTCCTGCAGCAGCTCCACCCTCTTGGCCAGCTGTTGGTTCCGGAAGCTGAGACTGTCCATCTCCTGCTCCTGCTTCCTCAGACTCTGCTCCCTCTGCTTTAGCTGCTCCTGTTGAGGAAGGGAAATACGATTAACTTCAGTTAAAAACACATTTGGCAAAAATCAATGTTATAATGTTATCAATAATGTTATAATACAATAACACATCAATAACAATAATACAATAACAATCAGCACCACTGCACCAAGCTCAAGCTCATTTTCATGACATGACGTGACCTGACATGTTATTTTAAAGCCACTTTACCTTAAGTGCAGCAGAGTTAGCCTGTTCATCCACAACTGCCTTCTTTAACACCTGGTTTTGGGCACGGAGCTGTGAAAATGCACAGGAAAAGACAAGGAACCATAGTATAAAGCATCATCAGCAGTCTCATCTTCAATTTGAAATTCATTTTTTTTAACTTAAAACTGCATTCAAATGAATGAATGACCCCAGGCTCCATTAGTTTTCATGCGTCCATGATGCAAGACACTCATACCTCATTAGGTCCTGGCAGTTGCTCATCGGTGTTTTAATGAGTGAGTTTAACAGATTAATCAATGTTCTATTGTAGTGAAAAGCCCTTTGAAAATATACAGACATCAACAGTACTGACCATTTAGACTTTGTGTATAGTTTAAAAAGTGTGCAAAAAGTGTTGCAAAGCTTGATGTCATTTTGTTCTGTGAACATTTTCTGGGTTTCACTGTTTGTGATTGTCATTTCCATCATCAGCATTTTCTGAGCAGGATATGGTTCTTGGCCAACAGGAAGAACAGAGTATAACAGGAACAAGCACATGCTCCCTGGTCTGTCAGCTGACAGGCACAAAGGATCACGAGAGAAAACACTTCTGCTCATTGATAATTTACCAGAGCAGCTCCAGGACACAGTGTCTGTTTGTGACTGACACTTTTAAAATGCAACTGTAGTAAAAGACTCCACAGACTAACTGTAGTTTAAACATCAAATCAATGTTAAGCTAATTAGAGTCATGATGGAATTCCCTGTATTTGTGGGGTTCTGGAATATTTTAACTACACTCTCTGACAACTTATTGGCATTGATTCTTCTTTTTTAATTACTTTTTTGGCCTATTTTACAGTGGAGCCTACAACCAACTAAATATACTAAAAATACTTTGTGTTGCACAGTTGGTAAAACTGAGAAAGTGCTTTGTTTTGGCTTGCAAGACGTTTACATTAGGTCAGTTTCAATCAATTCTTGAAGCAATATACAGTAAATGTGGTGTGATGGAGTTAACTTCAGCCAACACCTCACTCTCTGATTTAATTAGCAATGTTTCCATAGCCTGGTGAATAAACACCCAAGGCTCACTGTATTTACTGTATTTCTTTCACCACTGGAAAATGTATTATATTGTTACTGTACTACCTTACTAAAACTATGTTTTATTAAATATTGTGTGTACAGAAAGCTAAATTGGTGTGAGGCAGAGCATTACAGTACAGAATAGCGGTGAGCAATGTTGCCACTAAGTAAGAACAGCACCATTTTGATCTGGACTGTACTCTGTCAGGACTGTGAACGTTCTTTACATCTGTATTTGTTTACATGTAGCTCTGTACGTACATGTATAACTATAGCTACCTTGTAACTCTTCACGTGATAAAGTTGCTAAGCTGATATTTATCTAAACATAAGGCCAGTATAAGTCAGTGTGATTCAGGCTGACTAACTTATTACAATTCAGCTGCAACTCAAGGGCTTAGTGTCAGACTTTCAACATGCATGGCGACACCTGACTCCCTCCAATGTAAAAAAGAAAACAGTACATGCATGACTGTGACAGTAGTCGTTTTATTTATCCGCATATAATGGACATGTGTTAGTTGAGTTTTGAATACCTTAGAATACTCCTGAGCCAGTTTGCTGTACTTGGTTTGCAGGTCTGTAACGTTAGCCATCATTGGTTGAGGTTGTGGACGATAACACTTGATGCTGGATGTCGTTAGTCCAAACCAGGGTTTTAGTCCCTGTTTGTGTCTGCTCGGTCCAACAGGTCTTCTTTCACTTCTTCCTTAGCCCACAGTCTAACACAAAATACCGTGGCTCACTGTTTTTTGAAGGCTTATTCCATCACTGGGTAAAAGTGACAGCGGACACATTTTGACAGGAGAGCGTTTATAGTTCTACAGAGATAGCCAACTTCTTGGCGTCTGGTTCACATTGATCTCCAGCGAAGAGACGTGACAGCGGAGCTTTTTTTTCACGAATCAGCGGTAAGAGTAGCTGTTAGCATATAGCTGTTAGCCAATAGCTAACTAGCTACACAACCAAACAGAGCCCGACAGCAGGCGAGACATGCGTAAAGCCATTTGTGTCAGTAAATCCCATTAAAAAGTGAGTGGAGCCGCCACTCAGCTCATGAAACAGCTTAAAATCAACTGAGCTAAAGGCACACTTTCATCATGCAATCCGCAGAAATCCTCCCGGAATGTGAAGCCGACGACAGACGGTGAGGTCAGAGTTCACACCAACAGGAAACAGGTGGAAACGACGCGCCACCTAGCGTTCGAAGGTCTCAAAACATGTTGAAGAAAGAGATTAAGGAGTGTGTATTATTTATGCCAAACAATTTAATCTTTCATATACACTGACTGAATTAATAATAATTTGGTTCTTATGAGAAATGATAATACATTGACGTGATAGTATGCATTACTGTGTTTTATTAACACATAACGAACCAGAATGTGAAAAATGAAATATTTAGGGCATAGAAACAGGGTAATTTGCATATAAAAACAAAAGATTAATAAAGATGAATAAATAAATAATAAAGAAACTTTCAAATATAATGTACTTCCTTCTATCTTTTTTCAGGATAAAATGTAATGCATTTAAAAATTGATGGGACATGAATTAAAGATGAACTCCTGATTTTGTTTCAGGGGTAGGTTAGAAAATAAGCAGTGTATATATATATATATATATACTGTATACTGTATACTGTGTGTGTGTGTTTGTGTGAGGTGAGATTCTCTTTTAAAATGCACATGACCTGTTTAGGACAGAAAGTGAAATGACACGTGGCTAATGCAACCATCACCAGTCAAATCCTACATGATTAATGTCGCCTAATCCAAAATAATCTCTTTATATGCTCGCCAAAGAAAATCACTGTTGTTGGAAGAGACCCCAGAGCTGCTTTTACAAATAATCATCATTGAACATTTTTGGACCAATGATAAACACTCCCTCTGCTCTCTGCTTGCCATTTCTGATCTTAAATGCATTACAGACAAAACACAAACTCTCTTACATGCACACCACACCACAGCCACTGGCTCCAGCATTGTCTGGTTGCCTGGTAACTGTCGGCGTGGCGTGGTTGCTAGGGCCATGTGGGAGGGGGGAGGACGGTGGGACTGATGCTGCTCTGATTTCCAGCTGAATTGAGGCAGTCAGTAGGGAGAAGCCCCCTCCTCTCCGTCAGTCCACAAACACAGGACTCTATTGAACAATAGAGCTGTGCCAGTGGGCCTGAGGCTAGTCAGACGGGCCCTTGTTCAGGGTCACACTGTGTTCATCCCACAGTCCTCCATGACTAATTAACTCACATCGAAGTGTGTCGTGGAGAACATCTGACCAGGCATCCATCGCTACCACCGACCTGAAATCTATGTTATGAGGTGCATTTCTGGCAACATGCCACACTGGTGCATTCAAAGACGTGAAGAGGAAAAAAGAGGAAAGGGTGCAATGGAGCCAACCACAGCTTGTTTAGTCAAAATGGTAGTGAACTGCTGAACTTGGTGGGAAATATTTGCACCACCATGGTTAAGTGAAACCTTTTTGAGGAAGCAGCCACAGAGAGAAGCAGACGTTAGAGATATTTTGTAGAGAGTGACCTTCAAATAACGGTTTACAAAATATTTACTTCCTCAGCAAAATATTATTGTATGTTATTAAATAAAGTATTTCTCTGTACTTCTTTACATAGTAAATTAAAACAGCATTTGTTAGAAATAGCTTAATTCAAGGAATTGTAATTGGTTTTCCTTTGCATACCTTCACAAATTGATCTGGATCTGAAAGAAAATCCATGGCGTGACCTGAGGACCAAGACTTTAGCCAGAAGACCATCATCTCCTTAGTAGCTTGAAAGATACAGTATGACAGACATTTTACACCTGTTGTGAGGTTTTAGCAGAATCAAATGAGGGGGCTGGCCTAAATGTTTAAGGATCAAGAAAGTCATAGAATTGCTAGTACGAAATCCTGACCTGGGCAAAACTCTGGAGTGCTGAGCAAGTACTGAACCAAGTTTTGTTGTGTGTGTACAAGATGACATTGTTTCCTCTGAATTCAGATGCAAGAAATTACATTTCTTTATAGAAAGTAAAATATCCTTAGCTAACTAAATTAAGTTTAAACTTCATAAAATACTGATAGGATTGTGTTTCTCTTAAAATCTTTTTCTTTGATATGATATGATATCATTTGGTCTACGACTGTAGTTGATGTGACTGCAGTGGGGGTAAAATAATGTCCAGTTTTCTTGACCTCAGCTGGGCTACAGCTCCAAACATTGCATCACGATTCTCACAATCATAACAAGAACTGTTTTATTAATATTTTTAATACCATATATAATGCAATTGCATATCTTTGGCGAAAATAAATCTTCGTTAGCATACAAAAAAACAAAAGCCAACAGCTTCAATTTGTTTAGCACTGTATTGGCCGCACAAAATGGGGCAAAGTAGTAGAGCTAACTTTGCAACAGAATTTGGCAGTGGCAGAATAATACTATTCCCATAAAGGTTGTGACTTAATTATTGCATCTCTCTTTTACGAGAGGAATCATAAAATGAAAAGAAAAAAATATTTTAAAATGTTGGCATTTTTTTCTGTTTAGCACAAAAAATGAGATATTGATAACAACAGGAGGTTCGGTCTTGTCTGTTACAAACATGCACTCATTCTCTTCATAAATAGATTCACTTGGAAGAGGATACAGGTTTAAGGAGGAAGCATGCAACACTTTGAGTTATAAAATCTTCAGCTTGTCCCACTGTTCATCAGAGGAAAAAAAAATTATTATCTCCCAATCCAACAGATGCAGGCAGGTCTTTGTTGATAGGTATCTCGATAGTTCTCCGTAGCCCAAACACATCTCCCCAGTAGAGTTACAAAAGTCTCTATATGGCTTTGTTCTCCCGTGAACGATACTATTGCCATTTGTTTTGTTGGACCAGGTTTTTCCAAACAAAAAGGCTCAAAATGGCCAGTGAACGATCAGGTGAGGAGAAGGAGGCACACTGGGACACAGAGTCAGGAGTCAGAGGTGAGGGGTTCACAGGGTCTGGAGTTTGATAGGGGCCTAAAAATATTTATTTCCTGTTAGGTTTTGTGCTCTTGTGACAGTCAATGTGAAGTCGTCCAATTCAGCTGCGTATACCAGCCAGGTGGAGCAAGGAACCCGCAGCTTCTTTTAGCTCATCATCTAGCTCTGGCTTGACCTCGCGCCGTGCCCTTTTGCGAACAGGCCACTTTATGGCAGGGGGGGGGGGGGGGGGTGGGGGGGGCGGACCGCGCGGCACACCGCGCAGCACCCGTGCTCTTGTGACAGTCAATGTGAAGTCGTCCAATTCAGCTGCGTATACCAGCCAGGTGGAGCAAGGAACCCGCAGCTTCTTTTAGCTCATCATCTAGCTCTGGCTTGACCTCGCGCCGTGCCCTTTTGCGAACAGGCCACTTTATGGCAGGTGGACGCCGTGATGTCTGGTGGACACCCCGCTCGTCCCAAAGGTCAGAGTCCTCGTCGCTGTGGAAGCCCTCACTACCGGCACGGCGGGACTGTCTGCGGTCATCGCCTCCTTCATCTAGGGAGGACAGAGACGAGGAGGAGGACCGGGAAGAGCAGCGCTGCAGGGCCACACTGCTGTAGTTGTGATCCTGCTTTGGATCACTACTCACCAGGAAGGAGTCGGGCCTCGAGAGGTCCAGTGGACTGTCCGAGTTACCTTACAACGGAGAAAGACTTGAGTCAACATTTTTATGTGAATGTTAGTAAATGTGTTTTTGCTTTGGCGTAAAGCTGGTGTAAGTTCATATTAATCTAACTTTACAGTAGCGTTGCAGTAAACAAGTGGAAATCAAACACAACATGACACACTGACTTTAACGGCTTCAGTTAACAAATATAAAGCAGAAGTGAAAACAGTTTCCGCCTAAAAAGAACAGTGAGATTTAAAATATCTTCTGTATTTATGTTGCAGGAGTCCTCCCACCTGCCATTGCACAAATGTTTCTACAGTGAGAAAACTGCACTGATTTTTAATTTCAAGAATTAAGTAAGTTAGTTTACATCATAGTTTGTACAGGAGTAACACCAAAAATTCAACTGGCAAAAAAAGACAGATCTTAACTGCTTCACCTTTCTTTCATATATCAAAAACAATTGTAACTGTTTAACATATTTAATGTCATGCTGTTTTGTTACTTGACAGAACAATGAACCTGTACCAGAGCCAGGAAAGCTCTGCCTGCTCTACAGACAGTTCCACATTTTAGAACGTCAACAAAAAGCAGTCAATAAACAAGCATTAAACTTTTCTTGCAAGAAGAAACCTTTGATAAAAAAAAATATGATGAAATGCACAAAACTGATTAAAGCTGACAAAATAAAACAAACATTTATGCAATGTGGCAGCGTGCTATGTTCTTGTGTGGAAACACACAGTTGAAGGAGATGATGAAAATGTGGCTGCTTGTGTATTTTTCTCACATGGGTCAACGTGGTGCCCTGGGGCAGAGTTTAAGAGCATCATGGCAGTGGCAGCGTCAATGTCAGACTCTGGAAAGAGGAGAGAACATGCATGATGGTCAGTCCTATGATGAGAGAAAGCATGGCAGCAGGGTTGTTTGTTTTGGTAGGACTCAGGTCTGGACTCCTGTAATCCTTTTAGAGCAGAGACGCAGTGATCCAATCACCACTTACTGCATTGATTGGACATACAGGAGATTGATGAAAATAAAGCATAGACTAATGTCTATGCGCTGATATGGAGAGTCATACGATCTCCTTAGACTCCACAAAGTGTCTAAAAGCCTCATAGCTTGCTTCTGGGGCTCTAAATTATTAATGATTACGGTGAGACTGTGAGTGCTCAACACTCAGCATCAGCAGAACCTCTGCCTGTCGTCAAGGATACAAATCCAAAAGGCGAGGAGAGGGAGGGCTGAGGGGGCAGAGACAGTGACAGAGAGTCTCAACAATACTGGCAACATGAGGCATCAATGACTGGAAGGCAACAAATAAAAAAAAGGGTTGAGTGTAAAAGCACAGCGATGCTGAATGTTCTGGGATTGAAATGTTAAAAAAAAAAAAAAATCAACAACACAGACAAAATAGTTCAAAAATGACAAGCTCAGAATCAACAACGATTGAAATTTGTAGATACCTGCTTACTTTCATTTTACATATTACGTCAGTTTGACTTGCACTCACCTTTGAAGGAGCAGCCTTGTAGGAAGAGATGGCTGGGAGGAGAGGAGGCTCTGTGGGCAGGGGAGGCAAACAAAGAATGTTGAATGTTAGGGAAACTTCAGCGTTTCATCAAAAATCTTAAGACTGTTTTGAATGAAGAATAAAACACGTGGAGAAAGACTTCTGAAAGGTCAATTGAGACGATTCTTTTAAAATTCTAAGACAGAGGTCAAATGTCATATTTCTGGGTTAACACCTAATTTGAATACCCATCAAACTGTCTGAAACAGTTGAAATGTGTTCCAGCAGAGGGGGCTCTATGCACAGTTTGACCATAGATTCTGTCAGTAAAAGAAGAAACTGACATTGATGTTAGCATGTTAAATTTTTTTATTTTTTTTTTATTTTACTGGTATTTCTGTGACAAAACATATAAGAGCAGTGCAGCTGTAAAAATTACAATTATTTGTTCTTGAAGTTCTGTCAGCCTGCTTTACTCAGCGCTTCTTTAAAATTGTACCCCACTCTTGTCATATTATCCCCCTGTCAGCAATACAACATATATTCAAAGTTTATGGCAATGTGTCTGATGTAGAAATAAATTAGATATGTTCTTCCCAAATGAAACAATGGTCAGATGCTTGTGTTAATTCCTGTATTTGTTCCTGTCCTGTTCAGCATGAAGGTTAAATACACGGGCAGATTGTTTTTTCTTAAACCTGATCAGAAATTGCATAATGTTATGCAGCAAGAGAGCTTCCAGTAAGAAAGCTTCCGGGATGAACAAACAGAACAACAAGCATTTTTGTACTTTTGTGCCGCTTGCTCAGTTGGGCTGGTAGGAAAATGGGACAATCTTTTAATCTATGTCTAATGTGTCAATTAAGATTTGTTTGAACTTGACAGTTACAGCCCACTCGATTTTCCGGGTGTCAGACTTTGACTTACCGAGGTGGAGAAGCGGGTGGTGTGCAGAAGGCATGTGCGGCGGGGAAGTGCTGCTTCTTAAGGGCTTGGATCAGGTTGGGGCGGTACTCAGGGTCGACACACCAAAGAGAACCTTTCCCATTGGCCTGTAAATAAAAGCAAGCACAGTCAACACCTGCGTACCACATTAAGGAAAATTGCTGGAACAAAAGTGTGAGAAAAGATTATTATTTAAATGTTGGCAGATGATAGTGGATTATTAAAAACAATACATTTGTCCATGCCATTTTGTTCAGAACTGATAACACAAAAGTTGTTGGGGGTAAAAAACACATTATGGCACACACTGAAGAAAAAGAAAATACCTTCACAGCTTCAAGGCAAGGTGGAAATGATCACAAATCTGTGTGAGAAATGAACGTGTCTGTTGGTGGTTGTGTTAAAGGAGTGTTTTAACTGTCACTTTATCTGATGGCGGTGTACTCTTGCCCAGCCTGGGAGGAGAATGGAGAAAGGAGGGAGGGGAATAACCTTGACTCAGATTACCAACCAGCGCCGAATCAGGAAGAAGGAAATGTCTCCATGACAACGGAAACCACCACTCTGTGTGTCATGTGAAACTAGTGCTGGTCTCTCAGCAGACGAAAGGCCCACACTGTGCATGGGCACGCTGAGCGTCCTACCCTGCACCATGTTGCCGCTCACTGAGTGCTAACCTCCACCCCCTCCCACATTGAGAAAATATCAGTCCCGAGCCAGGCAACGTCTTGGCACCAGATACTGTACCGGTCACACGTCTGAACTCATACTGAAGCCTCAATATGGCTATTGTCGTGTCACTCCCTAGATTACAGTAACATGCAAATAAGGCTACACATACAATTGTGACTGGAGGCTGTGCGGGCAAAAGTGTTGACACTGTCGAGCCAGGACCGATCAAAGTTGCAATTGCATGACTATTTAAACCAAAATAACCATATCAAATATTTAGATATACTGACAAACAAGATCAGCACAGACCAGACTCAAGCTCAATAAAAAACACAATGCTTAGGAAGTCAATTAACAATTCACACCAACACTGACACAACGTTCATTTCACAATGAGTGTTAAGTCATTTGCAACAAATGTTCACTGTGACTGAGGTTGACTTAGATCATGTTTCAGACAATGTAATCCTTCCATCTTTGGTGAAAACAGTTGCACCACATTGCAGGGCTTCAGTAGATAAAGTCCTATCTGAGTGTGCTGCGTTTGCAATTTCTTTGAAGGAGGATCCATGACCTTGACTGTATTCCACCCTCATTGCAGCAGGGACTGTAGGTCCTGCAGATGCCGGTTACACACTGTCACATGAGCCACATTGCAGCTCTAAACAGCGACACACTGTTTGAAAACAGTGCGTTGCTTTGTGAAGCAATGCATAGATATCCATGAACCGTAGCTGTAGAAGTTTCAACTAACAACATCTTCATGGTATATTGATGACAGCAACTTCCAACAATACACTTTTAACTGCAGCCATTTTCATTGTTAAACATCTATGTATTATTGATGTGTTTGAAGAATATAATGCAGTGATTTTCTTCAAGAAGTATACCATAGAAGTGCACAAATCTCATTGGTTACCTAGTTGCTTTGTAGTTCTCTATTCACCCTAACATTCCAAGGGGTCACATTTTTTTAGGCTGAAGATCTTTGAAGATTTGTCTATTTAATATTAAAATAAAAGTTGCAAAATTGCATTCAATTAATAAACCCAAGCGTTTAACCAACTGCAGAGGTTCTGTTTACATATGCACTGCAATTTTTTCATACTTATACTACAAAAATCTAAAATTTTAGATTTTTGATTTTTAAATGAGAATGTGTTTCTTTTCTTTATTAATAAGTGAATCAAAAGTTTTATAGCCAACAAATAAAGAAATTGCAAGCATGAAAAATAACCATTTGTTAGTGTTAAGTGCAGACCTACCTTTCCTAAACTTCTCTCAACTTTCCGGAAGCATTTATTCAGAGACAGGTTGTGTCGAACAGAGTTCTTCCAGCCAGTGGGAGCGTTGGAAAAATAAGGGAAGTGCTCAAGGATCCAACCATAGATTTCTTTAACAGGCAGAGACTTGCTGGGAGACTGCTCAATGGCCATGTATATAAGCAGGGAAAAGGAAAAAGGGGGCTTAGACTTCAATGAGTCCCGTTCTCTGCCTCTGCTGTGTGTTAATGGTGAAGAGGATGATGGGCCCTGGTTGGGACCGTAGTCCCCTTCTATGTCGAAGAGCGGGCTGCCACTGGGTTGAGCTTCGGGTCCCCCCAGGGTGAAGTTCTGTAGCAGGTTTTCGTGGAGCCAGTTGAGGTTGGTGAGCTCCTCATCCTCTGTACCTCCGGTGCGATCCACGCTAGTGGCCAGAGGGCTGGATGCACACTCCGCCTCGGGCAGTGTTCCCACACCACAGACACCTCTCAGCCCTGTCCGCTCCTCTTGCATACCCGGGATTTCCGTTTTCTTATCTGGTGACATGCCAATGATTGGACCCATTAAATCAAAGAGGTCTGGGGGAGAAGAGAGGCAAACAGAAAACATGTTTATTTCACAGCGGTGTTATAACATTTGACCATCATGCTTTTTCTATTATTGACCTTGCTTGTTCATATTTTCCTTTAGGCACATCCCCATGGTTGTGCCTGTATGCCTCTATTCCACTTCCTCACCCCCTCACTGTCCTTCTCCTCCACTCCTGATGGGGGCAGAGAGACTCTCAGCTACCCCACCCCTCTTCACTCAAGACAAGGAGCTAAGGTACTCGAGCAACTGAACCGACTTGAGTCTCCACTCTTACACCCGCCTCACTTCCTGACAGGATTTAGCCACTTGTTATGTATAAATGAGCATTAAACCACCCAACAACTGAAGGAACCATTAGAAGGCCTTGATCTAAGAGTGCGGGTCGGCTATTACAGGCTGATCTTCTGCAATCATGCAGATTGAAGACTCGATTTCTCCCAAGCCAGATTAAGTGGTGTGAAGAGGCTACAACCACAGTCAGTCATAATGGCCGGAGTACTATACTACTATAGTATTGTCAAGCTCCAAGTCATTAACAAACTCTCCTCAAGTAATCTTATTAATGACATTTTACATACAAGTGTTAAGTAGATGTGTTGTATGTTCTATTATAATTTCTCTGTCAATGGTTGAGCTGTGTTAAATGTAATTTGCTCAGATTATTTAATCACGATAAAAAAAGGAAAAAAAAGGAAACTTTTAGAAAACCACAGCAAACATCCAATTTTTGGCTTGGATCAGGTTGGGGCGGTACTCAGGGTCGACACACCAAAGAGAACCTTTCCCATTGGCCTGTAAATGAAAGCAGGCACAGTCAACACCTGCGTACCAAACAAAACTTTTAGAAAACCACAGCAAACATCCGACTAAAGAATGAAAGAGAGTAGAGGTTATTTTATCGTGCATTAGCTCCATGACCTTAGCTGGGTGATGGGTGACCTTAGTGTGATGTAAAATATTTTTGCATGGTCTTGGTAAGTTAAGGGGGTACCTTGGCTTCGACACATTGTCCAAATTCAATTTCATTTAAAACTCACCCAACAGTAAATTAGCTTTTTTTGTGACTTTGTTGTAGAGGAAGAGAATAAGAGTATGGAATGTTCAAGAGCAATGTTACTGTTCTTGTCTTTCAAGACGAGTTATTACAAAAAACATTTTTGTTTTTATAACATAAATCCTGCTACCTGAAAAAAAAAACCTTCTTACTGTAACGCATTTGTTTTTAGGGGCTGGGGACGGCCCCTGTACAAAGGAAGTGGACCAGATTAGACAATGTTCAGCCCGAAGACCAGTAGTACAAATGCTAAAACTGCAGTACAACATAAACAAGCCATTACCACAATTTACACCTATATTTTCACCTTGAACATTATTTACCTCACAAGTTATTGTCTTCATACTTTTTAGTTTCTTTTTAGTTGAAACCATCTGTCTCCTCTAAGGTTGTGGCTAAACTAAGCTAGGACTGCTAAATTACACCTTCCATTGATAAGTTTTAACAGCGGCTCTGTGTCTGTAGCTAGTGTTTGTTTTACTTTGCTACTATACATGTTCTAATCACAAAATAATAATAAAAAAATAAAGAAAACAATTGGAAATTACAGGTGGAATTATTTGACTTTAGCAGATTGTTTATTTATTATGTAAACCAGGTGAGAAGAGTACAATAAGACATCAATTCAGTTGTCTGCTTATTAAGAATTGTGGTTCAAGTGTTTTCTATAGTCAGACATTGGCAGATAGTAAACACTCCTTTCTTCCTCTTCTTCTGTCTACTGGTTCTCTTTTGTGGCTTGGAAATGGAAATAAGTGCCCTGGGTAAAGTGTCAGACTGCTGATTAACCTTAAAAGCACAAGAGAGCTCCACCACAGCTCATCCATAAAGCACCTGACCTCTCAGCCTCACCCTTGGGCAGCAGAGAGTGCTCATCCTCTTTTAAGTATTTGCTCCAGAAGACATCATTTAAATATCAGCACGGGCAGGCTGGACCGACGACAAACATTCTTCACATCTAGAAACAAACACAGAAACTCATTCAACATGATTGCAGCTGGTCAATTACCACTGCTGCAGCAATGATCGCAGTTATCATTGCTTTTGTGAACAGGCATCAAAGAGAGGCGGCTGGGAAAGCTGTGAATGATGGGCTGCTGCAGAGCAAAAAGTAAAGAGGGGAGAGGGAGCTAATAAACCAAACTGGCCTGTTGACTGTAGCTCATCCTTGAAAATACACCAAAGCAGCATTGAAGCTGACCCGATGGCTCATCTGCAAGTTAAAATAGCTCCAGCGCACCGCCAGCCTCATCATATTCATGTGCAAACAGGCAGCCACTAACAGCAGGTGCCAAGGCACATTTCCCCCCCTTTTCAAACTGCTCTTTTATCCTATTAAGCACTTAGCCTATTCAAAAATACACAAAGACATATGGAGATAGCCTTAAGTGGCAAATCAAGCCGTTTATGTGTCAAATGTGTATGGTGTGGATGTGTTGAGAGAGGATAGCTGCATCAAAAAGAAGAGGTTAGGGATGGAGATGTTTTCTGGGAGAAAATCTTCCAATCGGGACTCAGTTGCCACGGCAGCCGGTGTTGTAAGGGAAGCAATTGTGCTCATGTCTGTGCATGAAGAGAGAGCTAATGTGAGGAGATCAATACAGGCAGAAACTGCTGAGGCCAGCAGTTTGCTGCTGTTCTCCACAAACCTGTCTGACAAAGAACAGTGGGAAAGACAACAGCAACGCCAGACTGGACATCACAGCGGGGCTGAATGACGGCAAAGTAACTTCAGAAATACTCAATTTTGTAAAATGATTCAAACAAATTAGTATACATGTGAGTTTCTTGTAAATGACCCAACATGTTTCCAAAAATAAAAACTGAAAATGCTGTACCTTAAATACCTGTTTGTAGTGAAACCACACCCATTACGCAGGAAATAAAACCAGTTGACACAAATCAGTTACACCTCTGTAATAGATACACAAAGGTGTGTCACACAGCCCCATGGCACAGGCTGTTATTTGAAACCCTAACTGATATTTAGTACTGAGTCTGGTTGGAGCGCTACAACTGTGAATGACACAAAGGAGAGCTGATTTAAAGTGGGAGAGGCAGTGTGAGAAAAAGAGAAAGAGGCTGTTCCACAAGGTAGCCTACGTAGGCTTTTATTTCTGGGCAGGTCAAACTGTGTCATAACAAATATAACATCAATTACCATCAATGCTAATCAGGAAATCTACAAGCAAACCTAAACGATTCATTTTTTCTAAAACAGCTTAATGGATTTGACTTATAATAGTCTTCGTTTAGAGGGGAAGGTGAAGAAAATAGACACAAAAAGCGTGCACAAAGAAACACAATTGGCCCCACACTCAGCCAGTACAAAGGCCTGGTTGTTTTTGCTCCAGTCATGTTTCAGAAGCGCTCAGTATTCACCTCACAGCTTCAAACAGGGGAGCGGGAGGGAAGGAAACACCTCCTGCTCGTTGAGGAAGTTCATTTTCAGAAAACAAATTCAGACTTCACACAGGGACACTTTGGCTTGTTCTGCCTCAAAACAGCAGAGTTGAGCAACAAGGTTCGGCGCAAAGCGGTAGCATTTGTTTTAGTAGTGTATGAACTCCAGAGCAGATGATTTCACTTGAGTTTTTAAGCTAAAATACACTGTGCTGCACTTTGACTGTCAACAGACATGAGGGCCTTCCAAAGTACATGCCTGCACCAAGCCAACACTGCAACCTTATCTCTTTGGGTCATGTGGCCTCTGTGTTCAGTGTGCAAACACTTAGCACCAATCACCGTAAACAACAGGCTTCTATACTTTCAAATACCAAAAGCAGCACAAATGCTAAGACCATGTGTGTTAAGCTTTAACATTACAGTTGAACTCTTTGTTATACAAAAATGAAAGAAAGTTCTACTTACTACTGGTAAGTAGGTTCTACTACTAAAGTTCAGTTCAAGATCTCAAGGAATTTGCTTGGCAATCAACAGTTATCAAACAAGTATTTGCAAAGTCATGCATATAAAGTTTAAGAACAGAAGCCAGCATTCAGGAAGATCTGGATTTACAGTAAAACAGATAGAGAAAACCCCTTCAACAAGAATGTTACCAAACTACATCAACATCCACCTCAAACACTGTGTGGGGGGCGGGGGCGAGGGGGGACAGAACTGCAATAGACAGGTGAAAGTACTTAGCTTTTAAAGAGTGCGGAAATTTACTGTAGCATCTAGAGTTCATTAATCATGCATACAATAAGTAGCACTAACATAAATGGAAAGATTTTAAGATTTGTTTTTTATTAAAAAGTTTGGTTTGCTGCTGGAGAAGAGTGACAATAACAAGTTTTATCAGTATTATTTTTGCTGTTTCAAAAGTATATTAAATCTATTAAAACATTTTCATTAACTACTACTGAGCCGAGCCTAACATATAACGTAATAAGAATAATAGACTTTTAATACCTTACATAAAAAGTAAAACCAATCACTTATTCTAATAGTTACTGTTTTAATTTAAAATTTAAATGTAACCAAATTTTAGGCAAACACACATGGCTCACTATCGAAGTCTTATTTTATGTTATTTATTATTGGTGCATCTTTGTGTTTCTAGATGAACTTCAATATTTGAGGCTATCTTTGGTCTTAATTAAAAAAACGATGTGTGGTTTGCTTTTTCAAAGCAAACTTTTATTTGTGTTTTAGTTGTCTATTTAATTTAACTATTTTCTGATAACGCACTTGACATCTCACATAACTATATTTCTTCACAAACAATTATTTCAGAAACAGATGCTCCAGAATATTGTTATATTATTCATATTTTGAATTCTGCCTGATGTTTAAAGTAGTTTTCTCAATTGCTGAAAAGGGTGCTGTATGCATTTAACAGTTTTTAAAACTTCTGAGTTCCCCATAATATAGTGTGTAGTGTTGGTCCATTAATCCATCGAAAGAAAACCCTCAGAAGACCATTACATATTTGCATGCAAGTTGGTCAGTCTGCATTACTGCTGTCATAATGTCACACATAAAATAAACCCGGTTACTTCAGACGGGGCTGAGGAGACAAAGGCCCATTGTGACACAGGACACAGCCATGTTTCCGTCTTCCTCTCTCCCAATCAAGGAAAAGCTCACATGATCAATGTCCATTCACTGAGGCGGGTCCTAATGAGTAGAGCCTCAAGTCCATGCAGTGTACGTCAAACGAGACAAATGCAGAAGAGTCAGGGGGTCGGAGAGTGGAAGGGAAGAGGAGGGGCCAGTGCATTAAGAAATGTGAAACAATAACACGGCCTGCGGAAGGAGGGCTAAGGATGTTTACAGTATTTGCTTACAAACTATTGATGTAAACAGAAAGTTCTGTCATAAATTGTCTCTCTTAAGCTTCAGACAATAATGGAAATTGTCAATATCAAAAAATGTGTGGTAGTAAAATTGTTTTTACTTGATAATCATTTGAGATAAAAATAGATGTGACTCAGCTGTGCTTGAATCTTTTGTGAGATTAAGTGAAACAAAACATCACAAAAAACAGACTCATTGATCAGGAAATCAAATCAAAATCAAAAGCAGAAAAACCAAAAAAAAAAGGGAAGCAAAAAATCACTTGAGCAATGGAGACTCTGGAATCCACCTGTATGCCACTGGATTAACGTCACAGACCACATGGTGACCACATAACCATAGAGATGTCACTCACTGGAGTGTGAGTAGGTGATCAGACACCTGTAGGTTCTATTCACAATAACAACCAAAAATCCTTGGGGAGCCTGTCAAAAGCCCAACTGGACAAATGTAAGCAGTTTCTCGTTTCAGGTCAGTATAAAATTATAAAAAGGATTTTTTTGGTAGAATGACAGACTTTTTTTCCCAAACTGTTTACTTCTACTTAATTCACAACATACAGCTTGTAATTCCAACTTCATTTATCTAATCAACACCAAATCAACTTAGAAATTGTGGTTTAATCCTAGAACAGAAGGTTAACAGAACCTTTCTGTGCAGTTCATCCAATGAGAGTCCATGTTTAAACTACGTTGTGCAATCCTCAAATGTTTCTGCTAAATGCCACATGCTTTTGTAATAACAGCGAGTCATCTACACCTACAACAAACGTTAGATTTCAGAGCTTATCCTCATACTGGGTCAGAGCATACAGGGGGTTGATAAGACTGATGACATGGCAACACCACCATTTTGAGCTGCTTAGAAATAGGATAAAACTGACAAGTTGCATCTAAGTTACAAGTGATTTCCACAAGTTTAATGTTTGAAGCTTAGAGGCAGAGATAAAAATGGAGCTTGACTGTTAATCATGCAGTGCTGTGGTGGTCTCTTTTGTAACGTTGATCCACTGTCATCATCCACCGCCTGTTTTGTAAACAATTCAGGATAGTGGTGTGACTTCTCGGGAACAAAAAAATACTGTTTACCAAGCTGTCAAACTGGTGTGTGGCACCAAAGGGTTTGGAAGAATTGAACAAATTATTTCATGCTACTGAAACTACTGCTGTGTCTGGTTTGTGTAAAATATTGCAATAATGTGGCCTAAAAATTATTTAAACAAGAGTAAAAAGAAGGAGACTTTGCTCCTATAATCAGATTACATCCACACACAGGCCAGGGTGTACTGTCAGGAGTTTATGACAATGTGACTAAACGATACTTTGACTCATAAAAGCAATTGTTTTGTAGTTGTAAATTTTTATCAGTTAAACTTTGGTCACAATCTGTGACAAGTGTCTTTTCCAAGCTGGTAAAAAGGTAAAATTACCATCCTTTTATGATATAAATCACTCAGTGGTCTACACCTGGTATTCTTTATCTCAGTGAATGATGAATGAATTCCAAACCAACTCTCAGCTCACTGTGAACTGTGGTTCTCCTCACTGATATTTAAGTTTTCAGCTAAAATTTTTAATCCTGAATCCTTAGTAATTAAATGCTTTCTTTATTAGCATTGCCACATCACTGGTCGTAAGACAAGTCTTATTTATAGAAATGAATGTCAGTGTAGCAGACACTCATCTATTCTGGGAGGCAAAAAAACTACTTACCCTTCTGAGGCTCCTGTACATACCAGCATGTGCAAGAGTGGATACATGTTAAGGCTACAAACAACAGATGGTAGGGCCTACGTTACATTATTCAATCATGGAGATTCTGGCAATAAATAAGGGCAAATTAAAAACAACATCTGTTTCTTTTTTTTATCTTTTTGTCTCTTGAGCCTCTTTCACCTTTGTCTTTAATTTACTACCAGTAGTCTGCTGTAAACTAAGAAGAAAGGGCAGTCATAACATTAGAGGAGGAAATCAAACATTCAGATAACTTTAACCATAAAAAAAAGACTAAAGAATGAAAGCCTGTCCAGACCAAGAAAATACTACAGTTGGCTGTGATGAAATATGTTTTTTTTATTATTATTTGCTGCTATATTTTTAGGTAGCCAATTATTTGCAAACTTTCTTCATATTGGAGAGTAGGCATACTCAATGTTAAGGACAAACATTGATTAACAGTAACAACAAAATATATATATATTTTTCATATTTTAGTTCAGCACTAAGATATTAAGGCAGAATATTGGCTTAATTTTATTTAGAAGATAAGCAAGTCATTTAAAGTTTACACAAGTTAGAATAAAGTATGTAAAAATCCAACAGATGGAAAACAGAAACCTCTGAAAGAGAAAAATAATACACGAAACATTTTGAAAACACAAGATTGTTCATTATATGAAGAAAAACATTTTTGTTAAAATAACTGTGAGAACATTCAGTGCATTTGCTGGTTAAAGCTTTGAGATGTCACAATCTAATTCAAGAATAGATAAGAAATATCATATAGTGTGTAAATTATCGACCAAAATTCTACAAGAAACTAACTAAAACAACTGAATAAACAACATATAGATCCAATTTTCAAACAACTAGTATATTTAACTTTCACAAATATTAGGTAATTAGGGGATTTAAATGTTTAAGCCAATATTTAAAAAAAAAAATCACACACAATTTTTGTTTACAAAATGTTGGCACGTTTACAATTAAACTTTATTAGACCTCATGGTTGTATGATGTTCAGTTACCAGTTTAAGACAGTTGTAACCCTAAAAGGGCCAGTATTTATAAGGACTTCACGACTTAGAATATTATGTAACGGTATATATACTTAAAGTCATTTTTCATGTTTTCCCCAATTTCATTTCTTTAACAACCATTGGTGGAGCTCTGTATCTGGGACAATCTTTTGATAATCCATTACCTCATGTGCTCAGCCAGTGTGGCCTCAGATCTCTGTCGTCGCAAATATATATAAGCCGTAAAAAAATGCAAGTATTTATAAATAAAGAGAGCAGAAAAAAGGATTCTTAAAGTGACGGGAACATTTTAAACACCAAACAAAACATGTTTTACCCCCACGTCAAATGGTAACAAGACACAAAGCGAAAGTGCGGTTTTAAAAAAAGTATACTAAATATCCTGTGTAGCATATGCGGTGTTTAACGACCAAGGACTTTACGCTCATAAGCACGAGTTCAGCCTGATACAATGAGGAATACCAAGTTACACGTAACAAAAGTGAAAAATGTAAACGACACTTCCTGACACGAGGAGCTCAGTGGCGAATATTTAAATATCCGCTTATCGAGCTTAAATTCAATCTTAAGCGTTTATTAAAACTAAGTTTAGGTGTGACGTCAGCACAATCCAGCATTGACGGGTGAGTGAAGGCGAATGTGACGCTGCTAGCGTTTGTTAGCAAAGCGGTTTTTTTTAATATCCCCAACGTTACACCTGCTCTACATTTTACGTAATACAAACCACGAGCAACATTCCGTGAATATCCACACTCACTTAATGAGTTTTTGTTAAAAACAGAGAAGGTTAACAAAAACTAGCTGACCACATGCTGTCGCCTCGTCCTGCCATGCTGCTGTTGTAAGTCACTTTGCCACATTTACTTTTAGCTTGTTCCCGAAGAGGAAAGACTACCGCAAGAGTTAACACACAGAAGAATTTTTTTAAAGGATTTAAATGAAATAGGCTCAGACTTACAATCATGCACGGCGTGCCTTCCTGTTGTGCTGTGTTTTTTAAAAAAGCAGACACGTCCGTCCGTCTGTGCTCACTTAATTCAGATGTCGCTCTCACACAATGTCAGAGATCAGAGCAGCAGCTGCTGCTTCTGCTTCTTCCTCAATACACGCGGCGCGACGATCACACATACACACGGCACAGCAACGCTACCAAACCCCCTGCCGTCGTCATGGCAACAGGTCTCTCTCAGCCAATCGGAGGCCGATCCCCTCCTATCTCCCCTGGCAACTGCCGCAGCGCAGGAGCTGCGCGAACGCGCACGCCATCCTGTGCTTTTTGCGCCGCGCTTCCACTTCCAGCAGCAGCTACAGCTGCCCTGAAACGTCATATAGAGATGCGTTCGCTTTTTGTAGTTCTCCAAAAAGAAATTAATTTGCAAAGAAGGGTTCCACTACATGTGATTAGTAATGACACCTATAAACGTATCAACGATCAAGTAGGACAGGTCCCAAACAAAACACACGTTATTTAGGCTACACAAACACCCCAGGGCAGAGAGAAAGGATGTGTCACCACCACACCCAACCTCGTGTCTACTGTGGACCCTCAAATAGGCCCACTCCTATTGTAAATAAAACCACTACACAACAGAAAGTCTTGCTTTGGATTGAAGTAATAACAGCTGATTACAATTAAATTATTAGAAATTCTACCCACTAGTGTCCAATAGTGCTCAGTGCCTGTGATCTTAAGGACCAAAGACTGTCTTAAACAGGGGTCACCAATCTTTTTAAAACTGATAGCGACTTCAAGGATACTTGATAATATGAAAAGGTACTTGTTTGATTCTGACTTACTGAACAATGTAATAATAATTAAAAAGGAAACTAACACTGCTTTGTCAAGTTATGGGACATACAATAGCAGACACTCTTCTTAACATTGTCATTGCACTCATTTGAATATCACTGCACGTGAAACTGATTTAAAAAGAAGAGTAACAGTAACAATTGTAAAAGTGCAATTTTTGACCCTCTTGTTGGATAGTTTTATTTTTAGAACATGCAACTTGTAGTCCTTAGGGACTACCTGGTGCCCCTGGGCACCACGTTGGTGACCACTTGTCTAAATAAAGTCAGAACTCCATAAGTTGGGTGGTGGATTATTTAGCTTCTCAATTTAACTAAGCCTCAGTATGACCACAAAAGGTTTTTGTTTAACTCTGTTGATCACCAGATAAGGCTTGGCATATAACCTTTAAAGATGTTGCTATGTTGCCTAGCCCTAAAATGTCAATGTACAATGAATTTAAATATGAACGTTTTGAGGAAGTATTAATGTCTTCTCTTTCACTGTGAGTAAAATAGAGCTGAACAGATATTCAACTGTTTAGTTTTCTAAAAGTGACAACTGTGTAAGAATTTAATTCAATTTTGTAGTATATTTTTGACTCTTAATTACCCTCTTTCTTAACAGGGACGATAGTAATGTTGATTTAATCAAATCTCTTTTAATAAACATGTTTTTACAATTTGACCACATATCATACAAAGCTGTTAACTAACAGTCAGGTTTCTACGAAGAAATTCATTTTCCTTGTAAAAACAATAATTAAAGGAACTTAAGTGACAAAATTAAAGCACTGTTTAATTTATTTGTGCGCTATGACAAATTGGTGTTATTTGCAGTTTAAGAGACAGTTCCTTTTTGTATCTCTTCCTAGCAATATGCCAACTGTAGCTTTACTGGCCAACTGACCTCACACCAAACTGTAAGTTTCACATTAGGGTGATACCTTACTCACCTCAGGCCATCCATTTCATAAGCCAGCTAGCCTGTGTGGACTGACCCAAGATTGTCTGTGTTTGCTTTTGCTGTGTATAAACGCAAATACTTGCCTCACAGTAAATACTTCTTCTCTGGTGTCGATGCACACCCTTGTTTTTCCTCCTCCTTCTCAACCGGATAAACAGGCTTTGCAGTGGTGTAATGGCAGTTTTTTTGTCACAGGCAGTTCCTGACTGGTATTGTGGGGAGTGTATTTGTTGATCGACAGCTTGTTGCTGTACAGTAAAGTTGTTGCACTGAATTCATTTTTAATTTTATTGACTGTATGGTTATGTGTATTCATGTGAATGTATGTGTGTATGTACTGTATATTAAATGTGCTGCAGATGATTTTTAGTGAATTATTGGCTCCCTGATTACATCCACTTTCATTCATTATTTAATTCATTCATGTTTCCCTTTGCTCCGGTTGCTGTGGCATCATTTTCCTGCACACTGAGCTATTCTTAGGGCCAGCAACCAGCTCAGGCGCTGTTCCATTTTTTTTTCCAGTATCACTCCCAGGGATGATGAAGTTGCAAATCTAGCAAATGAGAGAGGGGAACTGGATGCATTAATCACCAGGGAAACAGTTGATTGAAGTTGCTGTGAAAAGACAGATCCATTAGTCTGTGTGCTTGCAGTGGTGCTAATCTGATTGTAAAACTGTTAGGCAAAAACAACCTGTCCCACTGAACACCATCACAGATGACCATAACGATACCAGAGCATTTCCTGGATCAAAAAGCATCCTAACCAAGCTGCACATGTTGGACTCGACTTAATAAATTAAGAAAAGCATAATCTTCAAACATTATTATTTTATATTTGATTTTCTATGGAGTGAGGGAAATATAAACCTGACCTTGCATGAAAGGGAGTAAACTGAAGAGTGGTGGAATTACAGACTATGAGAGAAGTTCATGTGAGGCAGTAAATGTGGTCCTGATAAAAGGATGAACAATGAAGAAGTCCGTCAGTGATGGAGAGGATGTGACTGAGCATGAATGAGGGTGCAGTGTGTCTTAGCAGCCAGCCTATGGTGGCACAGTGGTCAGGAGGCCTACTGCTTTAATGGTCCATAAATCTGCGTGGACTGGCTGGTCTGATGCCGCCCCAGTGAGACCCTCTCATGTGGAAAATGAATCAGACTATTTTTACAGAGCACAAGTGTGGATGGTCTCACCCTCCCCTTGCTGCCAGCGAGCCGATAAGAGCTGCTGCACACACAGAGCACTCCATTTCAGCAGGTCTGGAGCTCATAAAAGTCCCTATTAGTGACAAGCCTTGTTTGTGTGCTGCTCTTCATTGAATCTGTCCTCTTGCCTTTGTTGTTCTCTTGCTGTTTCTTTTCTCGTATGACTTGGCTTTGGCAACACCACCACTAAAACTTTGTTGTGCACACAGTAAACAAGTGAGAACTGATTAAATCACACTTCACAGAATAGTCATTGACTAACATTGTGTTGTGTATCTGTCAAATGTCTATCTCACTCATCACTGCATAATGTCAGAACAACCCTTGATAATAAGTCACACAAAGGATTAAGATGTTACCAAAAACAAAGTTATAGTTAATGTCGTCATCTTCTACTCCGTCTAATACCTGGGCTCTCTCTTCAAACTATACCTTAAAGTTGAAGGTTCACTTAAAAACATCAACAAAATGGAACAGAATAAAGTCATTCCAAAGGTTTAAGACAATAAAGGGTCACATGTTAAGTTAGCCTTAAGTAAAACTCTATAATGTTGAGTAAATCAACTAAAAAAAGCACAGGAATAGAAAATAAAAAAAAAATTAAAGTTGGTCATAGTAATTAAGATTATCAAAATTTCTAATAAAAGCCAAAAGTATATAATTCATATAAAACATGTAAAACAATATAGACACAATTAATACACTTATAAAACTTTAAACACGTATCAAAACACATAAAGGGAAAAACTTTACATTAAAAAGGATATTAAAAAATATATAAACTTACCTTGACATTGCATATACACAGTATATTTATATCATACTCTGACAGCAGGACAAGAAATTTATATGCATAAAAAGTCAAACAAATCTGACATGAAGTGAAATTTATTAAGAAACAGTTCTTGGCCCTGCAGGGGATTTAGCTGTTCAATCACCTGCAATTGTTATGGGACTCCAGATCAACTGACAAGCACCCTAAGCTAATTAGTTTTAACATCCTTTGAAATGCAAAATGAAGGAGGCACCCAGAGAACTGTGGGGCAGAATAAAGAGCGCTAACAGACTAACTGCCGAGGCATGAGTACTCACATGTACCCTTGCTCTATGCCATTTCATTTTCATAGATAAGTATGATCAGGTAGCTGCCAAGTAGTATTTGCATTGCCACCTCTGCACTGACTATAACCCCAGTGTGGAGGTGCCAGAGGCAAACCCTAATTTGATTAAATGATTGAGAATAAGATTAAATATTTCTATTATTATTAGGTGTCTGTGTTTACAGTGTAAACGATGTAAACGTGCATAGGCCCAGGTTCCCGTTTAGACTGTCAGCACAGTAAGCAGGCGTGGTCTACTGTTTCAAATACATCACTTTCTTTGTTTGTCAGGTTTTCCCTGTGGCATTTACTCTTGTAGTTCTCCTCAGCTGAAGAGCATGTTTGCCAACAGGAGCCTTTGTTTGACTATCCTTTCTGCTAACTGGGTCTTATGAATTGTGTCAGCAGTGTGCTGATTGTCTGTTATCTGTCCACTGATAAGTGTCTCCTTTAATGCATGGGTCATAAAATTCTCTGCATGTAGGGCAGAGGAATGATCTTTTCAACTGCCCGGCAAATACCCTGTAATTCTTCATTGATTTAGCCAATTTGTTAAGGTGATACTGAACAGACGCTTGCATAAAGCAATGACAGTGGATTGAACTTGTTCAATATCAAGGTCATCTGTTTTCTGAAGGGACTCTGTGAACAAGTATGAGGTCATTTATTTTTTAATCTAACTTCTTACCTATGTATCCTTGGATACAATGAGGTATACTGTATGTGTATAAGTGTAAACTAAGAAATGATCAAACACACAAACACACACCCACACAGCCTGAGGTTTCATTAGCTAGACAAGAAGCCGTTGAAACCTAGGCCAGAGGTTTCAGTGGACCACCAAGCCTGTTGGATGAGGAGTTAAATGGCTTCAAAAACCCAGTCCATCCCATGTTCCTACTGTTGAACATTTAAGAATGTAACATTCCTCCCTTTCAGTTTTAAAACATGCAGCGCGTGTTCGCCCCTCCCTCCACTACGGGGGTGCTGTCAAAGAGGGGTGCTTTTACCGCATTACAAGTTATTCTTCTCTGAGGGTCCTCTGAGCTAAATGAATCCTGGTAACGCCCACATATTTTTTCTTCAGGGTTTTACAGCATTTCTGTGACTTCCAAGTGCCATTACTGCCACCTGGATGGTCTAGAAGTGTCCCAAAGAAATTAGTAAAATGGGTTTACTTACATCTTTGATTATTAGTTAAAGGGAAATGTACAATACACCCCAAAAACAGACAGACAGGCAGTTATGGCAATACTGTAGTTCTAGTACTGTAGTACTGTGGATCTATACTATAGTTACCTGTCAATAACCTATCATTAAACTCCCTGACTCTTTACAAGGATAGTTTAAAAGTATGACTGCAGCAGGTTACTGAAGGACTTCCTTTAAAACACCCTGCATTGAAACTGACCCTTTGTCATTTGTGCTTTTCTCCTCACTCTTTATTGACCAATATCCATACTAACCCATTGCACTTTTAAACACACTAAAACTGCAGGACTCCCTTCTAAAGACCTTCAAATGGCACTCCTGTACAATACACCACATACAGGGGACAATTGAATTAACCCATTGATCCTGGGCTGTTCTATTGACAGGCTGAATTTTGTTATTCAACCTAAATGACTCCTTCTTGCTGGCAAATGAAGACTTGCAGTCAATTAAATGAGAAGAAAGAGGAGAAAAAAAGGAAAGACGACCCATTTCGGCATTGAGCTTACATTTAAAATTCTTCATTAACAATGCAGAGTCGTGACGTCTGCAGAAACATTTGGCTGAAGAATCAATGTAAACAACACAACAGCAAAAGCTTTGTTTTTTGACACTCCCTTATCTTTTCATTGCATCTGGTCCTGCCCGCCTTGCCTTGGTCACAGCCACACTTTATCTTGTGGGACAATAGTAGGCTTGTGCCCAGCACTGCTGTCTGGCACTACCAGCTCCAAAGAGTGCTATGACATGTATGAGGGATTGTGTTTCATGAGCAGTCTGAATATGTATGTAGTGTGGATATTCTTTGTAATGTGCATTCAATACGTCATTTTCCCTGGGCAAATATTATAATATCTGTCTTTTATAAACAAGGTAACAGTGACTACAGGCAATTTTAAAAAATATACAGAGGAATATATTGTATAAAAAACATGACAAAAGGTTTTCTTGTTACATATGGCATATATTAAACAAAGTGATGCTGGGGGGAAAAGTTGGATGGGTTGCTGGACGCTCATTTTACACTATTTACTAACTTTACTAACTATTTACCAGTTAACGTGCTGGTTAAGAATCTCACAGTATATTACTTGACCTTTTCAACCTTAATGTACAAACCTTTTTAGTCTTTCTCACATTTCATTTGATATGTCTATATTAAATTTAATTTGTTAGTCAAAACATCCTTAAGTTACACCTAAATAAAAATAATATTTTCAGTAAAGCGTGCAGTTGACATCAGTGAAATTGTTCACTACATCTCACCAGACTGTGGCTACTGTATGCCTGCTTGGTACAACAGAAGTAGGGATATTGTAGTTTTGTTCCTATGTGTAAAGAGAGAGTGACCTGGTGCCTGAGGGCCAAAGCACATCCTGCCTGTGTTAAACAGAGAGCCTGGCTCACTGTGGGCAGGCACATGGCTGTATAGTGCTGAGAAAGTGGTGCAGTGCTTCTCTGTGCCTGGCTGAGCACTGGGTAATGAAGCATGGCTGAAGAGAGAGGAAAGGAGTATGTCTGCAGGGTAGGCATGGCTTTCGTGTTCCTATGCAACCAGGACGGATGGCTAGGTGATGCTGGACCACCTCTGTTCTGCTTAGTTGTCATGCTGCCTCGCTGTCTTTCTCTTGTTCTTGTGAGATGTCCTTTTTTTCCCCTCCCTCCTCTTCCATCCGTTTCTCTTTAGGCACATTAATGGAATGGTGTCAGACATCATTCCTCAGTTTGTTCAGCGTCCCCCCACAGCCGTTTCAGGGGATGCAGAAGGTCACGAAGGTAATCAATAAACATTAATCAACACTATTATAGCAAATAATAGGGAACTAATCCAAGCACAGAAGTTCATCCAATCAAATCAAACTTAATTATTAGAAATTACTGCTCTGAAATAGTACTGAAATCTCAGTGTCTGAATTGAATATTTCTCATTTTGTCAAATCACTGTTTTTGTATCCTTAATTGATTTCTCCTCCTTCTTGTCCGTAAGTCACTTGGCTGCACTTGCCCTTTTAATCAGGTCTAGTGCGAGCAGATGGGTCATTGTCTCAGGTGCTATGGCAAGAATGGACATTTAGCATTTCCATTTGTATATGTGTTTCCTTAAATGTTTCTACGCATGTGATCTAGATGTGTTAATAAAATAATAACAAGATAAAAATAAAAAATATTTTATCTCATAAACAGCTCCATAGTACTACAAAGACAAACTCTTAACACATCTATTGTGCAGCCAGCCACACATTTTCTGTGGGCAACAAGTGTAGATCTATTCTTAGCTGATGGCCTGGGCTTCTGCACTTTCTGTTCCTGCTTCTAAAGCACTGGACCGATTGAGGTGTGATTCACTTCTGCCAGGTCTGACTGTGTTGGTGTAGCCTGTGTCCAGCTGTATAGACGGTGGGGCCCATCAACCATCTGTCCCTGACCAGTAGATTCAAGGCTCTGTCCCCATAGCAGGGGACAAGGGGGCGGGAGTGATATGAGGTCTGATGGGGGAATCAGCTTTGTCTTGCCATAAAGCTGTCTTTCCTCTCTCCTAGCAACGGCCTTCCATTTCCTTAGTTTTAGGTGGCATGGTCCTGTTGGTCGGTGTGCAAGGCCCCCTCACTTACTCTCTCTGTCCTATTTATGGTAATGAGCCATCTGCCCTCTCTGTAACAGCCACCCTAATGGAGAAGACTGGTGGGGGGGGGGGGGGTGGGGTTCTGTCAGCCAGGAGTCTAAGACAAAGACGTTTATCCTGTTGTGTCTGCCTCCGCATCAGCGGATGCCTTCAGATATAGATAGGAGTCAGTGATAGCCAAGAATGAAGACAATCTTGTTACATGCTCAATCTTTACACCGCAGAATGCAAATTAAAAGAGCAAGATTCACTGTGAGTGTAAATGAAGAGAAAGAGAAAGTGACAGATACACACACAAAGTCTGCAGGTCAGTACTTAAGTTGTTAGACACACAGGTGTAAGTGCTGGGATGTTGACCCAATCATGCATATTATTGCCTTCAGAGCTGAATAATACACAATGCCATCATTATCCAGAGCTGTTGTATGGATGCACTTTTTTGACTTGGTGACACAGAAGAGTAGTGGGCTCGCCAGCCAATACAGAGCCACCCAACATTCAATAGACCTCTGTTGCCACTGGATACTGGATTGGTTACCAAGCCAACACATGTGCCTCACTGTCATATCTCCAACATATTAGGATCAATAACAACAGATCTTGACAGTTAAGCTCTTTGAGCATCAAAATTAAGTACATGTTATCACAATTGTCTAGGAAGGCTGGTAATTTGGTCTAAGACAATAAATAAATAATCGTTTTTAAATATGATATGTAAGACATGAAAAAAATACTTTAGCCACAAAAAATCTTACCATAACAAACCTACTGCTTGTAATTCAAAAATGATTTTCTTATTATAAGACATTTATTAAATTAAAAAGCAATTAACAATAATATTTTGACATCTTGTCAAATACAGTATCTATACATGTAAGAAAAGAAAACACAAAAAACAGAATAGTTGTTCTGTTGTGGCTACTTAAGCAGAGAAAAACAGTTCTAGTCAAAACATGGCTGACATTCACTCAGAGGTCACCCATCATTAACCTCATCAGACAGACAGACAAACAGACAGACAGAAGGGTCAATCCGCAGATGGTCCTTTCGATGGGTCTGCAGGTACAATAGGAAAGATAAACAAAGCAAACAAACAAGCACAGAAATAAATAATGAAAATGTATTAATACTGTAAACGCGTTGCAGATATAAAAAAGTGTATGGTTGGTATGGAAATGTGAGGATGCTGCCACCTTAAGGAAGTAAAAGTGGCAGCACCTTGTTGTCACTACTGTCATTGCAGTTGGTTATGAGGCAGGTACAGTAGTTTGAAACCATGCTGCTCTGAGACAATAACTGAGATAACCAAATAATATACACAAGAAACACAAAAACGACCTCAATATAAATATAAAGATAATGTATAAAACAAAGAAGACAAAAGAACATGCACAGAGCTTCATTCTCACGCGACTTCCTCATTGCGCGCATTAAGTACCCAGAGGTAGTGCTAAGGAGACATCTAGTGGACAAACAGGATAGTGTATAAGAATAGGCTACTGTGTGTGAAAGTAAGTACAAAACCTTAAAAAAACGTTTTAAAGAATTAACCTTGGTGTATTCTTTATGTTTGTGTAACTTTTGACGTTTTACAAGTGTAAAAGAGCGAATTCATATCTTGTGTCTCGACTGGATAGAATCTATAGGAAGCTAAAGTAAATATCAACCGAAACTGGGTGTATGGCAGGAATCGTCCTTGTCTTTGGTCGTAAATTAGAGAAAATACATATAATGTAACAAACATAGCACTTTCCGTTGATCATTTAAATAAAGAGGAACATCCGTATGATTACATATTTTTTAAGAATCACAAACACCTAATTTCAATAATAGTCGGTGGCTTTCATTTGTTGTACTGCGTTTATGAAAGGAACTCGAGAGATGGGTAATACTTAATTATCATCTCACGAAACATCACCACAAGATGCTGCTAGTTTCCATATCATGTTCCTTAAACTTTACTATACTATAACTTATACTATTTAATAGTAAAAACTTTAGGGGGTCATAAAACAAATGCGAATGCAGTTGCAATTGCAACAGGCTGTCCTACGGTCTGATAAGTTTAAATATCCTCAAAACCTACCCTTAATCAACAAATATCTCCTGATGCTAAATATCTTTCAGCCTCAACAGCATGGTTAACTATCGCCAAATCTGATTGGTTAATGCCTCCAGGATCTCTGCTTGTAATTGGTGAGAATGTAATAGTGGGCTGTAGCGTTTGCCTGCAAATTTGACGAACTTTTCACCATGATTTTGGAGAAGTGGTGCAGAAAAGACTGGCAACAAATAACATTTGCTTAAGATTTAAAATAACCTGTACAAATTCTGAAATGCAGATTTAACATAGTCAGGATTCGTTGTTTTCTTGAACGAAAGCAGATACACGGCCTGAGCCCACCGCCTACAGTGCAGGGGAACGGGAACAACACCGTGTACGTTTTCCTGTAGCAGCGGTACATCATGGATGATCGTACGATGTCGGCCAAAAATACATAGATGGTGTGCCTGGGGTCACCTGTTCTGCCGTGAACGCTTCGACATTTCTTCCAGGATTACCAACACCACCAAATGAACTCCGTCAGAGCAAGTAACGTTAGCAGAAGACCCAGGCGAGTGTCGAGGCCGCGCCCGGTGCAGCCGGAGGGGAACCACCAGGAAAGAGGTAATGTTATGAGGCTAAATATCGAGACTTGCATAGAAGCTAGATTGGTATTTTAAGTTCGTGTTTCACGGCAATGTGGATAATAGTGTTGTTAACCGTTATGTTTTAGTCTATACCCTGCTGTGAGCGTGGATACTTGATTGTAAACCCAAGTTACTCTGAGACGATCAGCTAGGAAACACCGAGGCTTACGTATACGAAGCTTACCGTCAGGCCGCGCTTTGTTTTGCTTCAATTTTGGAACATGGTCGCTCCTTCCTTCGCCAGGCTGACTAAGTAGCACTGCTCAAGATTGCTGTTTGCCAGCTTACGTGCCAACTGCAGCTTGTCTAAAAATGACTGCGAGAGACTTGATTCATGGGTGACAGACGCTGATGTGAGACACAGAAAGTGGCTCTGGATGTTGTGCTAAAGCGCTAACTGCACTGTTATTATTAGCATATGTGGCTAACTATATGCGAGCTGACATTTCTCATAAAATAGCCCCATTAACAACATTCCTAGATAAATATACATCTGTAACAGGTTGAATGTCAGTATTCGTCTTCATAAATGCTGTGGTCCGACAGACGGCGATATGTAAACGCTATCGACTATATTATTTTTTCCAAGGCCAAAATTATATTCAAATAAGTGGAGTTGGTCTGAGGCGGCTGACTAAAATAAAATCTATGTCCGTTGTCATGTGCTCTATAGCATGTTGTGATACTGTATCCTTCAGCAATAACTAAAAACCGCAGCAGCAGGTTACATTTGTTTTAACTCTATCGTACTTCACCTCATATCCATTTATAACAATTATTATTTTTCTCTTGTTCTCGCTTTGTTATTTTATGCTGTTATGACCTACAAAGGAATGTGCAGCATCGATCATTTGTCATTTAAATCATATTGCGGTTGGAGTCAAATACATCTCAATATTGCATATCTATATGTACTATGTAGGTACAGTGTAGTGATCTTTACATATACGGTTTGAAATCAGTTGTATTTGTGCAGAGTATTTGTGTACAGTGTTTGTAGTGGATACTGGGTTAGTAGCCGGGGAGAGTCACATTTGCAACCAGAGCAACAAGCAGACAAGAGTTTGCATCTCCCATCTGTGGTAGCTATCAACTCATCATGCAACACTGAATAGGCTGAATCTTTGCTTGTTTTGTTTTACGTGTTGATTGAATCCTCTTTGTAGTCAAATCTAGGCTTAGGCAGCAAAATTCTCCTGAGGTAATCAATGTTGAACAACATGTTAATGGCCCTTTTGATGAATTAGAAGCAGAAAGCCTGTGTTTAACGACTAGTACTGCAATGATCAATGGATTTATTGGTGCCCATTTGACTACCAATGGAGTCAACAACTATTTTTGAGTGTCTATGGGTAAGTTTTCACCATAAAAACATTCTGTGCTTTTAGTTTCTTACATATGAATGTGTTCGGGTATGGTTGCTTCTCTATGATGGTTAATTCATGAAAAAAATATTTGAGGATATTATAACTATTGTAAAAATCACCATTTATCTTTTTTGGCTTAAATTACTTTTACTAAAAAAAAGTAAAACGTCACACAAAATTAGTTTTAGCTGCATCGACTAATTACTAAATTAGTCATTTCCTTACAGGTAGTTAACAGTGAGACTATGGTCACATGGCATTTTTATTAGAGTAGTGACTGAAATTCTCCTTATGAAACAAATCAAAATAGAAATGTTGTGTATCAAGTTTTTGTCCTTTGCACCCTATGCAGATGAGGACGTTCCTGCAGATATGGTTGCAGAAGAATCTGGTCCAGGAGCTCAGAATAGTCCCTACCAACTTAGAAGAAAGTCTCTCCCCAAGAGAACAGTGTGTCCGACCAAGACAAATATGGAGGTAGGTCTAACAGTCCACAATGACATGGTTGTGGTGTTGTGCAAAAAAGCCACAATTAGTATAGAAATATTTCTAACGGCCTCTTCTAATTCCACAGGGTGCTTCCACTTCAACCACAGACAACTTTGGACACCGACCTAAGCGTCCCAGAGTTGCAGGAAAGTGCCAGGACTTGCCAGGTACGAAAAAAAACCCCCACAACTAATGATTCCTGCAAAGATGCATGTCATGCTTTTTTTTCAAATTATGATATGTAGAAATTAACAAAAAACAGGTTCAAACAAATCAACTGTTATTTTTAAAAATTCTTTATCACATGAATGTTAATGGATAATATCTTCATCTAGCATAGTTACTTCCATCTTACTCTACCTTCCACACCTAGTCCATTAAACATTTTCCTACTTTGTGGTCATCCGTCCTTTAGCAGCTCCAGCAGAACAGTATTTGCAGGAGAAGCTCCCAGATGAGGTGGTACTGAAGATCTTCTCGTACCTGTTGGAGCAGGACTTGTGCCGCTCTGCTTGCGTGTGCAAACGCTTCAGTGAATTGGCCAACGACCCCATTCTCTGGTGAGACCTGTTGAAATGTATCACGTGGTTAGACACTGTTTGGGTTAATCACTACTTTAAGCTATGTTTTTATTACTTTACAACACAACTTCACAATATTTTCCTACTCAGGTTCTTAAACTTGTTCATCTTATTTTGATTTGAAGGTGTTCACGAACACCAAAATGCTGTTAAAATAAGTTTTGTGTAACGTGAATAATGTAAGTGTGTGTACAAAAACAAACAGAGGATGTTGTTAAGGTTTGTTGTGACTTTATGTTTCAGGAAGAGGCTGTACATGGAAGTTTTTGAATACACAAGGCCTATGATGCACCCTGAGGCAGGGAAGTTCTTTCAGATAAACCCAGAAGAATATGAGCAGCCAAACCCTTGGAAAGAAAGTTTTCAGCAACTGGTACGAAGGTTTAAATCTTCTCTTATTCAGACAGCTGCTGTATTAGCATGTGATAGAGTGACAAAAAAAATCTGCTGTCAGCACAATCATTTTGAATTTTCTATATAATGAGCCATTTACTTGTCTTAATGTATGGTTATTTGTATTAATTTAATTGTCACAGTACAAGGGAGCACATGTCAAGCCAGGCTTCGCAGAACACTTCTACAGTAATCCTGCCAGATACAAAGGGAGAGATAACATGTTTGTAAGTACAATTAATATAAAACAGCTGTTAGTCTTCTATTTTATTTATTTATTGTTTCTAATTTTCTAATTGTGTGTTGGTTCTTTTTAAGTACTATGACACCATCGAGGATGCTCTTGGTGGAGGTCAGGAGCCTCACTTCGATGGCCTGATATTTGTCCATTCCGGCATTTACACAGATGAATGGATCTACATCGAGTCACCGATCACAATGATCGGAGCCGGTATGTGATGTCTTTTGTTAAAAAAGTATTTATTGATCAGATTATTAGCTGCTAGCCAGGTGTTTTTTTTTCTTTGGTTAATATTCAGATAAGGTGATTGAGGAGATGTGCTTTACCCACGAGTGGAATTTTTTAATTAATACTTTGAAACATTACACTTGTTAAGTTCTTTTTTGTTTATACTCTTTGCTCTTTGTGCAGCTCCAGGAAAAGTAGCAGAGAAAGTCATCATAGAGAACACCAGAGACTCTACATTTGTATTCATGGAAGGCTCAGAAGATGCCTATGTTGGTTACATGACCATCAGGGTGAGAGGACTGTTACCAATAATTCATATTTTCACTGTATGCCACAGTTGTCACTCACATTTTAACATCTTCTGCAGTTCAACCCTGATGACAAATCAGCCCAGCACCATAATGCACACCACTGCCTCGAGATAACAGTCAACTGCAGTCCCATCATTGACCACTGCATCATACGCAGCACATGCACAGGTGTGATCTTATATGCAGCCTAATTTTAACTCAATGTGGGGGTGTGTCCTGATTCATATTTGTGTATTGACTTATTGTATTCTGCTTGTTTCAGTGGGGTCAGCTGTCTGTGTAAGTGGCCAAGGTGCTTGTCCCACAATTAAGCACTGCAACATCAGTGACTGTGAAAATGTTGGTTTGTACATCACTGACCATGCACAGGTATGGCAATGCATCAACTCTAATCAATGTCATGCATTATAACAGCACCTTTGGAAATGCGAGAGTTCATGTATTGAATATGTGTTCTCCTTGTAGGGAATATATGAAGACAACGAGATCTCAAACAACGCCCTGGCTGGGATCTGGGTAAAAAACCACGGAAATCCCATCATCAGACGGAATCACATCCACCATGGCAGAGATGTGGGAGTTTTTACATTTGACCACGGCATGGTAAGATCAAATGTACTCGTGTAACACTGTAGTAATGATAGTCTAATTTTTTTTTTAATGCAAACTTGTACCCAAACATGCAGTTAAGTTTTCTTTGTCTAATTCTAGGGTTACTTTGAGAGCTGTAATATCCATAGGAACCGTATTGCCGGCTTTGAGGTGAAAGCATACGCCAATCCAACTGTGGTTCGTTGTGAGATCCACCACGGTCAGACCGGTGGCATCTACGTGCACGAAAAGGGCCGTGGGCAGTTCATCGAAAACAAAATCTATGCAAACAACTTTGCTGGGGTGTGGATAACATCAAACAGTGATCCCACAATAAGGTCAGTGTGCTGTGGCCTCACTGGTCACCTGTAAAATTGCATTCATTTTAAATGGATAAATTCAAACAATTTATTTGTTTGATCCATCCAGGGGAAATGCCATATTTAATGGTAACCAAGGAGGCGTTTACATTTTCGGCGACGGACGAGGCCTGATTGAGGGCAACGACATCTATGGTAACGCCCTTGCAGGGATCCAGATCAGAACCAACAGCTGCCCTATAGTCAGACACAACAAGATTCACGATGGCCAGCATGGCGGCATATATGTGGTAAATATTTTAAAAGCTTTTGCCTACTTAAAATCCACAATTTAACACTTAGGATCTTTTGAGTGGCCACTCTAAATGATTCCACCCAGTTTTTCGTTACATTTTTTTTCAACTTGAATTAGCAGTGACGTTTGGCTCATTTTTGTATCATGTAGCACGAAAAAGGACAAGGTGTCATCGAGGAGAACGAAGTGTACAGCAACACACTGGCAGGAGTGTGGGTGACAACAGGCAGCACGCCAGTATTGAGGAGGAACAGGATACACAGTGGGAAACAGGTAGGATGGCAGGATGGATGATAAATAATTGAACTAAAGTCACAAGTACATACACATTTCTATTGTTTAGTGTTATGGTGGGTTTTTTGTCAGTCTCATTCTGTACAGTTGTTGAGCTGTGTCATGTTAATGAGGTTTAATATTTTGTTATTTATACAGGTTGGAGTCTACTTTTATGACAATGGCCACGGTGTTCTGGAAGACAATGATATCTACAATCACATGTACTCTGGAGTTCAAATCAGGTTGGTTTACAACTATTTAGAGACACTTGTGAGTGAAGGTTTACATACGCTTACAAAAAGGATAAATAATTTCCTAATATGTGACCTGATGTAAACACAGTTACTAAAGAGTTGTGTTTTTGACAGGACTGGTAGCAATCCAAAAATAAGGAGGAACAAGATCTGGGGAGGCCAGAATGGAGGCATTCTGGTTTACAACTCGGGTAAGAGCCAACTGAACGCCACCTCAGGCTGTTTGCATGTACTTCGACTGTTTGACAAATGTGACAACTACACTCTTCCCTGTCGTTCTAATTATGGTACATCTGATACCTTTTCCAGGTTTGGGTTTTATTGAGGACAATGAGATCTTTGACAATGCTATGGCAGGAGTGTGGATCAAAACGGACAGCAACCCCACTCTGAGGAGAAACAAGATTCACGATGGAAGAGACGGTGGCATCTGTATATTTAATGGAGGAAGAGGTAACTAAAATTTGTATAACAGAAAGATGGACATCTTTAGTTTTATGTTTAATTGGTAGATTGTTTTATTTTTTGACGGACTCATGATTGTTTTTAGGGTTGTTGGAGGAAAACGACATCTTCAGAAATGCCCAAGCAGGAGTTCTCATCAGCACCAACAGTCACCCAGTACTGAGAAAAAACAGGATATTTGATGGCTTTGCTGCAGGTGAATAACAGTACAGTAATACCTGTGCATGTGCTGCTACCTGTGGTATAAATTGCAATGAGGAGTGTCTTATTTTAATGCATTTTTATATTATTCACACTTCCATAATAGGTGATTTATTTTTTTTAATATTAATGTTTATTAAATAATTAGGTATCGAGATCACCAACCACGCCACAGCTACTTTAGAGGGTAATCAGATCTTCAACAATCGTTTTGGTGGATTGTTTCTTGCATCTGGAGTCAATGTAACAATGAAAGGTAATTACAGATTGAGCAAAAGGTCAATAAAAAAAACCTCTTAGTTCAACTTAAATAAACTATGGACCATAGATCTATGTCTTACTGACTTCAATTTGCAATCTTTCCTATAGATAATAAGATACTGAACAATCAAGATGCCATTGAAAAGGCAGTGAGCAGAGGTCAGTGCCTGTACAAGATTTCAAGTTACACCAGCTACCCAATGCACGATTTTTACAGGTAATTTGGTGATGTTTACTGCCATGAAACGAGGGCACGATCTCGACAGTTCAGGTTTAGTCCCTGCTGACCAACTTTTCCTTTTGACTTCACACAGGTGTCACACCTGTAACACAACAGACCGAAATGCCATCTGTGTGAACTGCATCAAGAAGTGTCACCAAGGACATGACGTGGAGTTCATCAGACATGACAGGTCAGTCCTACAGTCTTGTCTCTGCAGTTCGTCAAAAAAGTAACTACATTTGACACGATGACTTGACATGATTTGACATTGATGAAATCAAGTTTTTACATTCACCTTTTTTGATAGACAGTAGAAAGGAAAGTGGTCATAATCAATAGATGTGGATTAATCTCATTTTTAATCACAATTGAGAAGTGTTTTGTTTTTTTGTTTTACAAAAATCCAGCTGTGAAGCCTTGAGATTTGCAAATTTAAAAGAAGGCCTTTAGTTCATATGTTGGAATGTCATATACCTGTATATTGGCAATGGACTGTTTTGGCTGCAGTACCACTGATGGTTAGGTCACTGATCATCAAAGGTCATACTAATCTAGTCACCTTAGGTCACCCCAAGTGTTCAATAGTGTTTACGGACTTACATGTTTTTTGCACTCTGCTGTACCGTCTAATTTCTTCTTCTCCACTGGCAGGTTCTTCTGTGACTGTGGTGCAGGGACGCTGTCTAATCCATGCACGTTAGCTGGAGAACCGACTCACGACACAGACACACTGTATGACTCAGCTCCTCCTATAGAGTCCAATACACTGCAGCACAACTGAGCAAGAGCTGAGGGTCATTTTGCACCTCAGCAGGACACTTTAGATCCTGTGCAGTGCAGGAGGAGAAAATTAAAACTATGGAGAGAAGAAAAAAAAAATCACTTTAGCAGAGAATATAAAGTGACTTAAAAAGACTTCAACTTTAAAATGATAGATGGAGTCATACAGAAAAAAAAGATAAAGCCTGGTTATGGTGGCCTCACATTTTTTTGTTTCCCTATATATCACAAGAAAACAGAGTGGGACGGAGCAAAAAGGCATCAGACTCAGGGCTTGCAGGGCGTTGGTTCGGATAAATCGATGAGACATGGCGGGAAAAAAAAGCTGATGGGTCATCAGTTATAAGAAACAAGAAGCTGCAGTAACGTACAGCCCTGTTCTGAACACATGCTCCTCCATCAAGAGGCAAACACCACAAATACAGCAAAGCTTCCATCACTAGGCAACTGGTGCTCGTACCACAGCATACGGGGACAAACGACCTAGCACTTCAGCTTTTTGGCCCTTCCCCCTTCAAGACAACTGTTGAGATTTGATTTTATTGCTTTTGTGTAGTTTTGTATTTTCATGCAAAGATCTTACTGTACTTGAATGTCTTTATTTTATTAAATGTGTTCATTTTTTGTTTATTATACCCTAGAAATGCTGTAATAACTCATGTCGCAGTATTTAACTTCTTTCTGTGAAAGAGACCAGAGAAAAGAAAAAGACAACACTAAACCTTCTCCAGCAACATTGTCTGTCACGTTTGCAAATCAGTAGGATGCTGAATGGTGCTTTCACAGGACTCAGAGGGAGCTGAGCTGGTAAAGGAGTCACCTTATGTTTTCACACGTAGTTTCTCAAAGTGGACAGCTTAAAAAGTCCAGAAGAAAAAACACAGCATTTGTGTCACTATTTACGGCTGTAGTTTGTACTTAAGTACAGCCTCTTCATCAGATTAATATGAAATTGCTGACTGTGGGGGGAACTTGTGCATGTTGAATGATTTCTGTTTGGGTTGTACCTTCTTTGGGAACAATAGTTTTCATCATTTCATGTAGATTTTTTTGTATCAATCCAACCTGGCCATTTTTTTATTTAGATTTATAATATTTTATAAATAACATCTCATTAAAAGTCTCAATGAAAGCACTTGTTTTTGTGTTTGCTCCCCGGTTTGCCAATGTTGCTGGAGAACACAAAGCTTTTACTCTTCTGAAGCTGAGACAAGTACCTATATACAGCTCTATATCCTTCACTCCCCTCCCCATTCATGTGTATTGGTGATTGGTGGTCCTCATACAGATTTAAAATGTATGCATGTATCATAACATCTAGACTTAATATATTGTGAAGTATTCAATAACCATTATGTAGGCTCTAGTGTGAATTAAAATGGATTTCCTAGATGCAACATTGTCATTTTTTAAAAAATAAACTTTATTAGATCATCGCAGTAGTGTTTTTTTTTTTGTTTTCCCAAAAATGGTGATCAACCTAATTGAACAAATTTTTTTTCTAGTACAAACTACAGATTGTTGAGCAACTGAAACAATGAAGTAAAGTGTGTGTTGCTCCGTGAAGCACCGTCAGCAAACTGGCAGAGCTTCCTGCAAGAGAAGATTGAGAAAATGTCAGAACAAACCTTTTGGTTTTTACCAACAGACGCCGTCGACAGAATTAACAGATGTGACGAACCTGAAGAGTCTGAGGCTGATGGTGCTCTTCTCGAAATCCCTGGCCTTCCTGTGTCCTGATTGGATGACCTCCTCTGGCAGGTTGGCAAGTCGAGCAGCGTTGAAACCATAGCTCTTTGGACAAGCACCAGTGATGAACTTGTAGAGGAATGTGATGGTTTCTTGACTTGGATCCTCACATTCATTCTCCACCATACAGGCCTTAAAAAGACAGTTTGATACAAGAGTCAGTGGCACAGCACCTGCTCCAACTGCATGCATTTGAATCCAGGAGGAGCTGACAACCTTATTACAGAGCTAAATGTGTTTTTCAGTAACAAAACAACTTTTAATATTTCAAAACAAGTCTAGTTTTAAAATATTTGTTGACTTGGTCTTTACTGTTCATATTGCAACATATTACACATTTTCTTTCAGTAATTAATTGGTTGTAACCAAAAACATTAAGCCCAATTAAAAGACAAAAACGGGTGATGATAAATTGTCTAAATGTTAAAGTGTTTAATACTTGATAAAGTGTTTAAAATGAAGAGAGAGAATGTCAGTTTGTCAGTGGGGAGACAAAAATATGGAATTTAGCAGCCTCTAAAGAGAGCTAGTTTAGAGCTGTATTTCAACATTATTGATCTTAATTGCCTGGTATACTATGCTGTCTAGGAAAAACCACCTATAATATTCACATCAGCTGAACGAGATCCCATCTCTTTATGGTGAAATTGTGTTTACATACAGTATGTACACTACTATAAAACTAAACAACAACATGTATTAATAGCAGTGTCTCCTGCATTCTATATAGATAATGTAAATAAAGGCAGAATTATTCAGTGAGATGAGGAGATATTCTGAATACTGTGCTGCAGACACAGCAAGTAGTTTTTACACAACACATAATTTATGAACTCACCATGTGACCCAACCGCACAGCAGGGCTGCTGGCATAGTCCTCCACCAGGGAGTGGTAGTGTGTTGAGAAGAGAGTACGGCAGCAGATCTTCTCAGCCAGCTCCTTCACAACAGCACTGGCGATAGCTGTGCCGTCATATGTGGCCGTTCCCCTTCCTGTTGGGAGTTTCACAGAGAAATGACTGCACTCTATAAACACAGCACACCAGGGACAAAACAGTCACGCTGGTCTTACAAGATAAGCCAGCGACGTGCAACATAAACAAACCTAATTCATCCAAGAGCACCAGTGAGTGGTTGGTAGCGTGATGCAGGATGCTGGCAGTTTCACTCAGCTCCACAAAGAAGGTACTCTCACCTACAGAATACAGTTGATAGTTGAAAAAGTCTCTGCCTATATCAAGTGCACGTATTCTGGACAAGCACCTAAAACATTACCAGCCATAATGTGATCTGAGGCTCCCAGTCGAGTGAAGACCCTGTCAACTGGAGTAAAGCGCAGACTCTCAGCAGGAGCATAGCAGCCCAGCTGGGCCAGGATGATCACCAGCCCACACTGTGCACAAAAGAACCCAGATGTATAAGGACATTTTTATCACAGGCATTTTTATCATGTAAAAATATCAGCACTGTAGTACACTTCCAGAATCTCTTGGAAACAAACTACTACATTAAAAATAAAATACAAAAAATTTAAAACATACAATACAACATAAAGGGAGTAAAATACAAATAGAATTGTACTACTAGTTATCGCGATAATTTTAATGTGTGTGCAAATGCTACAGGACAATATGATAGACAATAAGAAGGTATATTTGTAGAATTGTAATGAGTCAAATATAATTTCAAGAACCTTTTTCTTCTCAAATCACAGATTCTGTGATTATTTTATTGAATCACTGACTCACCTGTCTCATGAGGGTGGATTTGCCCCCCATGTTGGGTCCTGTGACAAGGACACACAAGGCTTGATCCCTCTTCACTTCCTCCTCCTCTTCAGTTCCACCACTGCCAGGGCAGCCGATGAAGATGTCATTAGGGATGAAGTCATCACCAAAGAAAGTCTTAGTGACACACGGGTGGCGTGATCCAACCAGATCAATGAAGGGCGTGATTTGGTTTTTACCACCAGGGAGCACCACTTGTGGTCTGACCATTTGTCCATCTCCACCCTGACTGTAACGGGTCAGGGCCAGTAGAAGATCTGCAGGAGGTGGTGATAACAATAAAACAGAATTTTACTAATGAAGACAACTTGTCATTTATCATGTGGTGTAAAAAAAAAATTTCCTATCAGATATAACACTGTAAAGGTTATCCATGCAGAACTAATTGCCGCACACACTTGACAAGCACTGAGACTCCTTCAACATCCATGTACAAACGTAATCAAGAGAGATTAGTGACATCTACAGGAAGTGTTTTCAGAACAGGCACCTGTGCTGCCAGCTGGTATCCACCAAACTGCAGGGGAAGTAAAGCTGCGAGAACAAACTGAGTGCTGCACTGCTGCAGTTTTGTATCACTCAAGATTTGTTCTCACAATATTAGCCGAGGGCAAGTTCTTTCTCAGTGGGTTTGTTAAAAAGGTAGAACTAACAAAGAATAATGTCACAAATATAGTTGTAGACGAAATGAATCAGAACACTCCTCACTTAAACTTTCTGTAAGAGGGGAGATTTTGTCTGCAAACTGATATAAGGACTTAATAACAAATTAAAAACAACATGATTCTCACAAATAATGAGGCCAACATATTAGACAGATCATAAGCTTATCACCCTGTTACCTGTCAGCTATAGCATTATTATTGAAGCCCAAACCAAACTCAGTATCAGTGAGTACACAGTTCCTGTACAGTTTTACATTTTCTCAGAACAATAACAAATTTGCACCTGCCAAAAAGAACCAAATCCAAAAGGAGAAAGATGTAGGTTAAAAAAAATGATAAATTTGATTTGAAAGTGATATATTTACCCAGCACTGCCATGCACTCCACACTAGCCTGCCACTGTTTGTAGTTCTTGTCAAAGTTGTAGAAAAGTCTTCTCATGCAGTCCTTCAGAGCACCATCTCTCTTCTCCTCATATCCCTGCAGCTCTGAGAACATTTTTTCCGTCTTCCGTGTGACATATCGTTTCCAGCCCTTCTTGGTAGATTTCACCTCGTACTCTTCAGGAATATTTCTCTCTGAGACACTGTCCGGCACTTCCATCTGGAAGCGGTTCTTGCCTGTGCCCCAGTAAGCCATGCTTTTACAGCCAAGCCTCTTCTTCTGTCGGTGGAGATATTCCTGCAGCTCCCGTTCACAGTTCTTTATCCCAGTCAGTGCCTGGTCGTACTCAGGGTCAAAGCCAGCTTTTGGGCTTATGACACCAGTACTGCGGGCTTTCTGGTGATCGAACGACGTGTCCCAGCGTTTCAGCTCAGCAGAGAGGTCAGGAAAGAGGCCGCTCTTCTTACTTTTTAGGCTGACCACTTGACGGAGCATTGCAGATTTGAATTCATCTGAAACTGAAGCAAAAATGGAAATAATTTCCTGCATTGTTTTGAAACCATCTAGCGTGGAGAGGAAATCGGCGATCTTGCGCTTGCTGTACGTGACCTCCTCATAGNNNNGGAGTGCCGATACTGTGGATTTTACTCAGGAGGCGTTCAAGATCTGGAAGCTTCTTCAGCAGGTCTGTAGCCTCTGAAGCCTGGGCCTGAGCTCCCATCAAGTCCTCGACTGCATCCAGTCTGTCTGTTATAGATGAAGGATTGCAGAGAGGAGCGCAGAGCCATTGCTTCAACAACCGCTTTCCAAATGGTGTGGAGCATGTGTCCAAGCGCTCCATGAGCGTCCCTTCAGTTCCTCCTGATGCGTTTTGAAAGATTTCCAAGTTTGCCAGTGTCACTCCATCAAGGACCATTCGCTGACGAGTCTGGGCAAAGAAACTGACATCTCCAGCAGCTTTTTCCATCTCAACATCAACTGGGACATATTCTTCAAAATTAGCCATAGAGAGCAGCTCAAGGTCCACCAGACATTTCTTAAGGTAATAGATGCAGCCACCAAGTGCAGAGAGGGCTAGCTCATATCCATCCTTTGGAGTGAGGCAGAGAGAATCACTCTCAGATGTCATCTGCTTCAGAACAGCAGGAAGAAAATTGTTTTTAGTCTTCATCTCTTCATTCTTACAAGCAGCATCTTTGAAGTATTCTTCTTCCGACAGGGTTTTCAGAGTTTTCTGTGCATCCCAGAACTGTGTTCCTGAATTAAGTCCTTCCTGCAGAGCAGAGGACAGAGATGCCTTCAAGATTTTGCGAGTTTCAGCAGATGGATTTCCCTTTTCAAACAGCACCTCAACGGGAGTAAAGTGTGCTATCAGAGTGCGCATGCGGGAGCAGTTACGATCATCTTGGAACTGTCCTATGTTGAAATGACCCACTGAGGTGTCCACAAAGCAGACTCCATAAGTGCGACAGCGCCCTGTGCTTTCATCTTCACTCTTCTCCTTAAAACTGAGGAGAAACTTGCTCTGACTCTCTGAAGATGCACCATCCAGCACACTGTAGGTTTGAGTGCCACGAGTGATGATCCGACACACTTCTCTTCTGACCACGCGGTCGAATTTTGTGGGTTTGGCCATGCTCTTACAACGAGCTTCCATCATTTCTGGTGTTTCTGTCTGCTCCACTCGAGCCACCTTGTAACCTTTTTGGACCAGTACATCTGAGAAACGTCCAAAACCAATCTCTGGGAATCCTGAATGTGCCCAATTCCCCTTCATGAAGGTCAGTCCAAGCTCATTGACTCCAATAACAGCATCCATGTGGTAGAGCTCATAGAACTTTCCCACCTTATAAAAGATCACAGTATCGAACATCTCTGATTTGAGCTGCCACCATCGCCGCATACCAGGGGTGTTTCTGTTAAGAAAGTCTTCAGGGACATACAGGGTTGTGGGGTCATAGTCCTCTTCTGTTTGACGCCGCCTTCGGCCATCTTTCCTCCGGCCATCTTGCAGCCATTCCAGTTTGTCATGATCCCAAACCGTGGTACCTCCATTGGAGCCTGAATCGTTTGTCTGGCTGTCAAAGTTGTCAGGGGCAGAGTAGGCTGAGAGACGTGACTTAGTGTCAGCTGCGACAGCCGCTGGAGCTCGTTTTGGTGCAGCAACTGGAGGAGGTGATACTTTTGGTTTTTCATTTGCAGGCTTTTCTGCAGGACGTTTGCGCTTCACAGGTTTAACAGGGCTTTCAGGTTCTGATTCGTGTGCACTCTTCTCCTCTTCACTACTCACTGTTTCCTCTTCCTCATCCTCCTCACTGCTGGAAGCAGCATGTTCTGGTTTAAACTCATCTCCAGAGTCATCACTGTCAGACACAACAATAATGCGACGCCGCTTGGCTTTGTTGCTCTTTTCTGTGACAGCACGGGATGAACGGCGACGGGCGGACCTTTCCTCAGTTTTGGGACTATCCTCTTCAGTAAACTTCTCATCAGTTAAAGTGGACTGCTCAAGCTGATAAGGTACACATAAGGATGTTTGTTTAAATTATTACTGTCAAAAAAAACATAAAATCATATCTTTGGTGATTAAAAAGTTTGGTTTAACAGTACACATTGTGACCATGCCAATTAAACAACAGAAAATAACAATGTAACCTCCATCTCTTCCTCCTCCTCTTCTTCATCTGATGGATCAGTGCACATGGGCATCTTTAATCTTTTTTCAGGAGTGTCAAACAAAACTTTATCAGCAAGCTCCACGGCATGTCGGATCACAGGCTTGCTACTGAAGAAGACCCCTCCGACTTTAGCATCACTGCTGTCAGAGCCTAAGACATAATTCGGCAGTGAGAAAACAGTAATGTTAATGGTTTGGAAAACACAGACAATGCTATTTAATTTATTGAATTATTATAATTTGCTCCAACCTTGGTATTCTCTGATATATTTGACATGGACCCAACCCCTTGTTGGAGGTTCATCAAAGAAATGAACATGGATGCGTTGGGCTTGGCCACGAGCCCTCATCTGCTGTCCAGTCAGAGGTTGCGGTACCACCATGCACGGCCACCAGGGGTGTCCCTCCATTTTTGCCCACACTAGTGCACCAGCACTGAATGGACATGTGGGGCTACAAAAATATATTAATGCAGTTTCAAAAAGTTGGTTTCAGGAGAAAACAAGACATTTTCAATTTAGTCAGTTGCCTGAAAAAAAAGAAGATTAGATGCAAATTAAAACTTGGTCACAATATTAGTTTGTTTGTGTTTTAACACTGATGTTAAATGGAACACTAACAAAGCACAGTTTAGACTATAATTTTATAAGATGAGTGATAAGTCACAAATAACTGATATTTTTGCCTTAAGGGTCATAGTTAGTGTTTTAGTTATACTATATTCCAATCTTCTTCAGTTAAGGGTCTTTATAATTTTTTTTTCTAATTAGGACAAAAGAAGGAAATTGACATTTTTGGCATTCACTCATTAGTACATGTGCTGTACAGACAATAGACACTGAAATCAACTTTAAAGAGTATAATGGGTCAAAGAACTAAGGAAATATAGTGTGAGATCAGACTATGCCTGTCGTTAAATTATTACATGACTAATGGTTTATTTTGTATTACTTATACTGATATGAGGCTTCTGAAACCACAATGAGCCTGAAAATGTGGCGATTTTTAAATTTTAACTTGTATTGCTCCCATGTTCATTGTCATAACCCTAGTGCAATATGACTTTACGATCTGGGTCCAACCACACTTCTTGCAAATAGGCCCTGAATCACAGTTTGGTTATGTCTTGGTAAACGACAACAATTTAATCAAGTTTATTTAAATCTTCCTTCGCACGGGTCACAAAAAGTGTTTATAAATTACGATGTTTAGACTACTACATCATAGGCTAACATAACATTATTTTTAGTTGGTGTGGTTTATTTACAGGAGGCTGATAGCCTGAAGCCAAACGTTGCTCTTATTAGTCACTACAACTCGTTACATTTTGCACACTGACACTCACCTTTTTGCGGGTGAAGCGGCCTTTTTGCTAAATAGTTTACTAAATCCTCCATTGGCAGACTTTTTAGAGTCACATTTCGGTTTGGCGTTGTCACATTTCGGTTTGGCGTTGTCACATTTTATTCTGGTCGGTTGTTGTTGCGTTTGCTTAGCCTGTTCCTTTGGAGAGGAGTTGGACTTTTCCACCGAGGAAGGCATGTCTGTCTCGGTCGGAGAAGGGCTAGTCTTCGGCTTGGAAACCGGTGGTGGAGACTTCGTGAAAAAACTGAAAAGTGATCTTTGTTTAGCCATTATTCTGCGTTCAAAATCGTTGAATTTGTGCAAAGGACACTATCAACAACCTCCCTACACCACCATGCACCCTTTTGTGCGGCGCGAGAGACGTTCACTCGCGGGAAAAACACACGCCAGTATCAACCAATACGATCTGTGGAAAGTTGTCACATGGTCTGAAAAGAACTTCCGCCAGGTGTTTCCTTGGCGGTCCGCACAGTGTACTGTGTCTTCTTAGCCTCACCACAAACGGCTATTAACAAAAATGAAACCATACAGAACAAGACACGCTGTACAAGTTTAAATAAATACGAATAAATTGTAAACAAAGAGTATATGGAGGTCCTAAATAGTTATATTTCTCATATCTGACATTATACCATGTATATTATCACAGTCAAATCATATACATTTCTAATGCGATAATGATAAAATGTTATATATTTAAAAAAAATGAAATAAAAAAACTTTGAAGCGTGAATTCGATATATTACGTCACGGATCCGGATGTCGACGCCATCTTGACAGGCTATCAAAGGGAGTTACAACAAATAATGTCTGCACTGTTTTACAATTATGGTTGTGTCTTTTGGGATACACTTCTTGTTATTCGTGCAGAAAAAAATGGAAAATGATCAGTATGGCTAAATAAGATTAGCAGCCCAGTTTGGAATCATCTTGGGCACCCGGACCTCAGCACAATACTATTTGATTCCAAAAGCTGCAGTATTGCTTTAAAGCCAGCAGAGTGCAGCATTATTCTTGAAGCGACCCTTGTCTTTTTTTGTTTTAAATGTGTACGTCTCTGACGGTTAATAATAATAATAATAATAATAATAATAAATGCTTCTGGTAGAAACACACGTACACTGAACCTCATACTGCCTCATCCTCATTCTTATTTCTGTTCATTCCATGGTCAATTTTAATAAAATCTCAACATCCTACACATTCCTATACTCTTGCCTGTCCCATGAACATTGTCTTTGTAATTGCATTCCATCCATCCATCCATTTTCATCCGCTTATCCGTTACCATCCATCATGCATCGCTGGAGAAAATTTAATACTAATCCTTACAAAGAACAAGAAACTTATTTAAAAAAATATTAAAAACATTTAAATATTCTTGGGCTGTGTGTGTGATAGATAGATCATATTCTGAAGAAAAGACAGGTCTGTTACTCTACATTAGACCTCAGTTATTGCCTTATTTTAATTTTGTGAGTATTAAAAAAATACTAATGAATAAAATGTACAAAATTGTACGTTTGTTTATGTAGCTGACACCAGGCATATTAAATTTAATATTACAATTAACTGAGAGACTTAACAAAATAAATAGAGTTGTTTATGTTTAAAGCATAAAAATTAATGTGGTTTACCATAGAGAAAACAAGAACATTTCCCCAGCAATGTTCAAATTGGTCTCCAGGAAACAATCTTTAGAAAAACAAACAGTTAATTAAAAAGGCAAATGTACCTGACAGAAAGAGTCTTTCTCTCCCCTGCAGACACTTCACTTAATATGAAGAATAGTCCCACTTCTGGTTTAGTAAACAGCAGAGCAATCGGAAAAAGATAGATAGATAGATATTAATTCCTTAGGAGTACCCTTTTGGAAATTAATTGTTAATGTTTTCTAAAACATTTCCCAATTTTGTTTTCAGAACATAGGCATGTTTTTGTTCATTATGACAGCCCCTGAATTAAAGATGGCACTGATGAATTATTGATCGTTCAGTGAAATGTGTCCTGATGGAATTATGATGAAGTGAATGATGAAGATAAAAAAATGATTTTCTACAGAACCTGAATTTTCATCAGTGTGCTTGAAATCTAAACTTGAAATCCAACATAAAATTTTAGAATATGACATTACATGGAAGTCTTGCCACCTCTCAAGTTGTATGCCCCAAAACAGTTTCCTAAGTTTATCTTGTAGCAATGTTATTTTTTGTAGAGCTGGATCTTTAAAGTTATGACAAGCTCAAGAACAGATCATGACTGTGACTCTCAGATTGTAAATTAAAGCATTTACAGCATTTCTATAAACTCAACCTCATCTTATCGTTATATTCAGTCTATATTTTTAATATATATATTTAATAGAAAGAATAGTCTTGCAATAGAAACAAATAATAAAAGTGATTGCAAGGGGCTATTTATTTCTGCTGACATCTAAAGCAGAAACGAAATGCTGTTAAATTGTGTAAAGTGCAGTGTCCACAGCGA